GACATCCTGGATTAGTGCAAACAACGAATTGAGCTAAGGAGTTACTCCAGCATCAGGAAGATTTTTTCTGGTAAATTGTCGGTTAAATATTTTCCAGAGTTATGTCAATAAATACACACAGCAGTAAAACTGTGGATTACTGAACTATACTGGGACACATGATGGAGCTAAGACCAGCTGAGAACTCATCAGCTTAGAGCTCCCAGTGGAGCACAGAAATGAAATATTTAAGGAAAGTAAACAAACTGTACCGATTTTGGTTCTGAAGATGAACAGAATCCTCCTCTATGTCCAAATCGGGTCACGGGTCTTCTGAGTCAAATGGTCTAAAACATGTCTGCACCTCTGGTAGTGATATCCAGCTGGCGGGGTCAGAGTTCGGTTGAACCTCTCCGGTAATCCAGTATCCGTTCTCGTTGCCGTATCCCAGAGAAAAAACAAATCTGACTGACTAGCAGGCCTCAGAAGCTACATCTGATTGATGACACATTGTTCTCTGCTATAACTCTAATGCAGAAACACCGGAGTCAGGCGTTGTTTACTATAGCTGTTTCAGCAGAGCTCCATGTGAAACGTCACCACCTCTGCAGGACATAGACCGGAAGTTAGTTTCTGTTTTTCCTGCGCCAGTCAAAACATCAGAATTAAAATTCCAGCCGTCAAAATCCAAAAACCTTTTTCATCTGAGGTTTTAATACTCATTTACACATGCTGTTCAAATGAATTTTGCCTCTGGCCATTATCTTTAATAGTAGTATATAGTTGGTCACACTGAGTTTAACATGCAGGCTCAATGTGAAAATTGTCTTCAATCACTATTCCCTGCATTAACATCCAAAAGTAAATAGGAAGGAAATGCTTGGGTCAGAAAAAGTCACACAGATCAATGAGCTTATTTGGATGATGATGATCTTCTAGTGCACTATTGGGCCATTCCCATCTGTACCGGGTCGGCCTGGGCCGGGTAGCCCCAGTCGGCCCCAGCCTGGCCCGGTTGATTCCACACATCCTTGCCTTAAGCCCATGTGGGCTGATTCTACCCACCAATCAGAGGCTTGCTCTAATGGAAGGTGTGAATTTGCTGTCAGCAGTGGGTGTGTTGGCCCTGGTCGGCCTGATGCAGACCCCCTCGAGAGGAGGGCTGAGAATGAGCCTTGGTTGGCCCGGAAAAATACCAGGCCACCCAGATATGCAAACAACCTTCGCTACCCGGCCCGGGCCGACCCGGTACAGATGGGAATGGCCCATAAGACCTTTTACCACCTGGTCCTGTTCTTTCAGGCCAGGTCTTTTCTCATTGTATGGTGAGCTATACCCACTAGACTCTAGACCGTATGCCTAGAATCCCTGAACCAAGCCAGTAGGGTTGAATCAGACTCTTTCCACCACTGTTGGGCTGGTAGGAGGCTCCTGTAGCCACCTTTAAATTTCTGTTCCTCAGCAACTTCATTAAACGGCGAGCCGTGATTACCCTAATCGTGTCTTTCACAATTTCCTCTCCCCCTCACGAACACTGGACTCACTTTTTAGGACCAATTCATTGGTCCTTGGGTCCGCTGGAGTTTTGAAGTTGCCATCAATCATGTGCCACCCATGGACATTCTATTGATTTTTGATTATTTGTATTTTTCATGTCTGCATAAGGTCATTTATTTATATTGTATGTAATAACTCATTATATATTCCATCTTGGTACCAACATAACAGTCAATTTCATTCTGTCTCTGTGTCACTTACTCCTGTGAGCATATCCTAGCTTCTGATCAGAATTACATCTGGTCCTGACAGATCATGTAGTCACACAATTACTGCCATACTTGTTACAGTCACACTAAAAGTTAGCATTCATGGACTCACTCATCTTGGTTTATGACCAAAGAAGGCTGTTGTTGACTTAGCATTCAGGAGAGAACTAAGTGCATCTCAGTTTGTAGAAGCTAATCATTAGCATTAGCATGACAGATCAAGTTCAGACTGTTATTTGAGAAGATACAAAATTGACATTGCGGAGTCGTTGATGATAACCAATCAGAGATGGCATGTTTGAATATCATGAATACTAATGAGTAAGACACCAACTCCTGCTGTTTTCTGCCCCCCACTCCTCCAGCAAACTTCTACTTCCTGAAACAGGAGCGTCGGAGCTTTCTTTCCCCACAGAGAACGACTTACAAGGAAGTCATTTATACTAGAGACCGCAGAAGACGTGTTGAAATAATGAGTGTCACTTCCTATGTTTTTCGGATACCTTTGCTATGTCTCTATTTCAGATAAAATGCTTTGGTAGTGACACCACATTGCAGTTAAACAAGTACACAGGGTTTTTATTATAAATCCATCCATCCATTATCGGCCGCTTATCCGGGGTCGGGTCGCGGGGGCAGCAGCCTAAGCATAGAGGCCCAGACTTCCCTCTCCCCAGTCACATGGGCCAGCTCACAGGGGAAATCCCAAGATGTTCCCTAGCCAGCCGAGAGACATAGTCCCTCCAGCGTGTCCTGGGTCTTCCTTTGGGTCTCCTGACAGTTAGACGTGTCTGGATAACCTCACAAGGGAGGTGTCCAAGAGGTATTCTAACTAGATGCCTGAGCCACCTCAACTGGCTCCTCTCGATGTGGAGGAGCAGCGGATCTACTCCAAGCCCCACCACTATGACCAAGCTTCTCACCAAGCTTCTCTAAAGGAGAGCAGACACCCAGCGGAGAAAACTCCTTTTGGCTGCTTATATTTGCAGTCTCGTTCTTTCGGTCACTACCCATAGATGAGGGTTGGAATGTAGGTCAACAGGTAAATCAAAAGATTCAATTACTTCAATTTTTAATTTCTACCATCAAAGCTGTAATATATTCAGTAAAATGGCTCACTCTCAAGTTGACTGGTTCATTTTCATCATTTGGTTTGGTTTCAGTCCCCACCAGCTCCATCCATGGCTGTAGTGGAGGTTCCAATGAACATGATTTGCATCAGATTCTGTCAAAAGCAAGGGATTGCATCCTAAAGAGTTCACTATGGCACCCTATGGTGTAGTTAGTAAACACATCCAACTGACCCACTCTTCTGAGTCACACCCACAATTCACAGCAGAGTCCAATCAGGCCAACCAGGCAGATGCCCCAAATCACTTAAGATCCAAGGATCAAATTTCATTTCTCATCCTGACTCACACGTATGCAATACGCTCAGCAAACTGAGAAATAACTCAAACAGTTTGAAAAAGAGAGGAATAAAAGAGGGTGAATGGTGGGAGAAGAGTTGCATGTGTGCAGTATAGAAGTAATAAACAGGATGTTTAGTCATTAAACATTGACTAAATATTCCTGTGGACAAAGAGGCTACATTTTTTCCTCAGTGTGGAGGATGTCCCTGAAATGTGAAACCAGCAAAAAAAAAAAATAATAATAATAAAATAAAATAAAATGACAACATTCATTTAAGCAATTGCTGCTTTAATTTTGTTCTGTTTTAACAGGTGTTATTTATTGCCAGGTTTGTTTCAGTAAATTGGACTTTTTCCCTAAATGATTAAAATGTGTAATTAACTAAAGTACTAAAGAGAATACTCATATTTACTGAGATCATTTTGGATTATTAATCGCTGGAGACCGTTCTGTCTGTATGGGTTTGTTTTCTCTTCCCAGGAAATAGAGTGCAAGAATGAGGCCAAGTACTATCCATGAGATCCTGGTTTGGGATTTTGGGTCACTGGTCTGAAATGGTTTCTGCAGGTTGATATTTGGGTTTGAGAGAGAGGATCTGGTGAATAAAATATGCAATAAACTACAAGTCAAAGACGGAAACACCTCCCTATTCTATAGAATTATCACAGTAATATAATTAACCAGTGTGCTGACTGGATTACTCTGAATTACTGCTTCTTATCTTTCAAGTCTCATCTATCAGTTGTTTCTCTCACGCACGCACACATACACACACGCACACACACACATGCGCACGCACACACGTGCACGCACGCACACACACACACACACACACATGTGCACGCACACACACACACACACACGTGCACGCACACACACACACACACACGTGCACGCACACACACAGCTAATTTTATTTTCTATCGATTATATTCTATTTTACAGCCTCTGTTTTCTATTAGCTCTCTACTCGTCCTGAAGCAGAGGGCTGAAGGAGGTCATCAACAAGAGTTCTGGGGGGAAAAGCAAAATAAATTTATGTGCTGGAAATTTTAGGTTAGATGACAGAAAAGTTAAAGAACCTTTTTATCCTATCTAAATCTAAATTAAAAGTGTATGGCAGCTGATCTGTAACCATTTTACTGACAGGTAACAGTTTTGTGAAGAAATCAAATCCTAAAAATTACTGATTGATACCATCTCAGGTTAAGAAGGCCTTTTAAGCCCACTCTTGAAACTGTCACAAACCTAATTGGTGTTTTATTTTTAAGAGGATGTTTTATGCAAAACTCAACTTTGCATCTTCTTCTGCTGCAATGTGGGTCTCTACCACTTCTATAATTACTGAAAATGTGGAAAAACCCGTTATCTATTTTCTGTCAGTATTTGGTTTTTGAAATTATGTGTCTGAAATCAGCTTTCTATGTGTGATGTAAAAACGGGACAAGTAGAATTGAACCGCCTCACATGTGCAAGAGAGAGCTGCTGCTGGAGGAGCTGCAGCTCTACTCCGAGCCCCTCTTGGAGATCGGAGCTTCTCAGCTTATAGTAGCCTGAGTAAGGGATGGGTGGGCCAGCCAGCTAGCTCCAGCTTTTTATCTTAAAGTGACAGATCCCTGAAATGTTTCATTCTGAAACTGTCAAGAACAAATCTGCAGAAATTGCTTTATGTGAGAGCGTTTTAGTGCAAAGAACTTCGTAAGCATGTTTTTAAATCAACCATAGAACTTTTATAACTTAAGAGAAAAGTCATAATATGTTCTTGTTAAATTATTTACACCTGATTTCCATCTTTATTCCCCACATGTCTAATTACGTCCTTTGTTCCCTTTATCTCTGTAGCTATGATGAATGTGTTGGCCCAGGTTCTACTCAGATCTACATCCCCACAGAAGACCCACCTCCTTACTCTCTGTTGGACCCCTGTCAGACCCTGGCAGAGCCAGAGGAGCAGCCCACCTACACCAGTCCAGGTGCTTCTCCGAACCATGGAGATTCATCAGCCAGCGCTGCGTGGCTCCCCCCCTCCCACTGCCCCTTGGGACTGCAGGATCCAGAGCAGCAGTACATCGCATCCATTTCCTTCTCTCTGGAGGAGGCGCCGCCATACGAGTCGGTGCTGGCTGAGCAGAGACAGCCCCTCCCTCTCATGCCATGTGACCTTTATAAACACCACTCGGAGAGGAGCAGCGATGGAAACTCCCAGCAACTCCCAGCAAACCATATCTCATAGGACGGCTAATTGGTTTTCTTCACCTGAGCTCTCAATCATCCCCAGCTGAATATGATGAACACATTGATGTGTGGGGAAATGGCTGTTAGGGGCAGCTGTGGAGGCAACAGTGGAAACTACAGAGATGTGCACATCTTCCACAAGATTTAAAACACATGATTAGACCCTAAACTTACTACGGATCACACTGCAGCAGAAACGCTCTGTTTGGGGCCAAATAAACAACTCTGACTCTGTGGCATCATCTCCGTGATGCTTCGTTTTCTAGTTCAGCTTCTTCACTATTTTGATTATTATTTATAAACTAGGACTAATCTAAGAGTTGTGTGACATCAGTGTGATTTTTAATTGTTTAGCTTAGAGAATTCTTCATTTCTCAGATTTTATTATTTGATCCAGAAATCTCTGCAGTGAGTTAAAGTCTCTGTACAGGGTGCAACCTTTAGAGGAGTGTGCTGTTTTTGTCACTGTCAATGTGGTGGTAGTATCCTATTTAGTTAAAGCAAGACTTTGTATTAAAATAGGAGTGAAAAAACCCACCTAAACATGACAGGAGGCCCTCGTTCATCCCATGTGTGTTATTCTAACGTAATAATGGATTTCTGGAAGAAATGGTGGATTTCTTGCAGCATGCATCACAAAAATGGCTCACTTTGTGCCATTTTTCTCTCAACTGTTTGTACCAAGGGCTCCAGTTGTGACACCATGATAAAACTGGACCACAGTAGCAGCATGTAGCTCAGAACCTTCCTCCTCATGAGGTTTGTTTGATGCAACGGAGACCTTACACATGAAAACTGTAGAATTGATCACACTGATCTCTTTGAAATTATTTTTTCTGTCCAAAAGGAGGCGATGATTGATAATTCTTTGTTATTATAAAACTTCAAGTTGGAGTTTTTCGATGTTAACACTGGCAAACTCTTGTAAATAGTTAAAGACAGACCGTAAAAGCATGGCAGGAATAACAGTTTACAGTGTTGGTTATGCTAATTAGTTTTGTGGTTATGGACAGTTTTACATTTAAAGCATTCCCAATTAAAGCTAATTAATTAACATGATGATGAGAATATGAATAATGAGAAACAGAGCAGGTGGTGTGGGTGATTTCAGTGTCTTCATTGAACAAAAAGCTAAGGTTTATGGAAAGAAATTTAACTTTAGGTTCAGAAAGGCGTTTGTGAGCATTTGTGACAAACAGTTTTCTAAACACTTAATCCTTAAACTCAGAAAGTAAACTGTAAACTAAATAAACAATAAATCAAATCAAAAAATAAGCTAAACTTTTGGCCATTCTGACTATTAGTTTCAGTTAGTTTCCAAGTTTATGATGGAGTTCTGTACTTATTTGCAGCAGAAATGTTGTGCAGTTGTCTCCAGTGCAGCCTGTTGTTGTTTCAGCAAAGTATTTCTACCAGATTGAATGTGAAATAAATGGAGGCATAAAGGTTGATAAAACAATATTTTACTTTTAATGAAGCATTTTTCTAGGATGGCAGCAATCCACTTTTTGACGTTGCTCAGACCATCTGCTCATAAATCCAGTTAGTCAAATTATTATTATTTTTTGTTAATTCAGCATTTTTTTGATTTAACAGGTTTGCTCTGAACTTTGTAGTTTGAAGTGGAATTCACAGACTTTATTTTATTATTCATAGTTAAATTATCATCTATTTATTGTGCCAACAGGGGCTCTACTTTCATTTGATGAAGAATAATCTACACTCTAAGAAACTAAATATTGAATTTAATTGACCAAGTTGTGTCAACTTGTTCCACTAAGCGTAGGAGCTTCAATGAAAAGCATAACATACATTGTTATACGATCTCAATTAAGTCATTCACTGCCAATGACGACTTAAGTCGTCATTTGCGTTTTTTTACTGTGTGGGTGTTGGAACGAGCCTCCACACCGTGAAAACAAATATCCCAGCTCTAAAGCTGATCATCCGCATACGTCACATGATCAGGAAGCAGAAAATCCATGTGTTAGGAGATCGTTTTGGGCCGCTGCTGTAAAAAAATAAAAAAGAGGCGCGAAACGGAAAAGCTTCTGCAGATCACAGTTCGACAATGGATCATGAAAGAACGAATAACGCTTGAAACGCACGGATTCTTCCTGATGTAAGAGGTGAGTCTGCTCTTTGTTTTAGTAGTTTTGGCGTTGACATCATCCTAGCGCGCAACGTTATGTGACTCCTAAGAAAAACGGTAAAAACGCTGGCAACGAAGAGCTTTTCTGATCAGGAATTGGCTGGCAGTGAATGAGTTAATTAAATGTATTTCACACTTTACATTTAAGCAATTAAGTATAGTGGAACAAGTTGACATGACTTGGTTAAGTAAATTCAGCATATTTTTGCTTACAGTGTGCAAGCTGTTTATTCACCTTTTCACAAGTGGTGTCCATTTTTGGTGTTCAAGAAAAGGGTTCCAGGCAAAATGGCTTGAGGAAAATGCATATTTTTTATGCAAACATCCGTGTGTGAAATGGATGGCTTCTACATGTTTTGCAGGAACAAAACAAAGTCTGAGATTTTCCTTCTTTTAGTCATATTGCATAGGTATTATTTCCATCTTATTCCCAGTCTTTGCTAATGAGCAGAAATAAGGTTTGTGTGAGTGCGTGCGTGTGTGCACATGAACAGAAGATGCCATTTTAAAAATGCTAAGGTCCTACAGCTGCCACTTCTGGAGTTCAAACAATGTTACCTATCATCATTAGTAGTACTCAATAAAACATTGCAAGAGTGTTAAGGTTTGTGACTTCTAAACGCTACTAGGCTGCTGCAAAAAACTAACAATAAAGTTAGAACAAGGTAACAAAACCCACCAAGTTAGGTGAAACGATGTGCTTCATTAGACTAACATTCAGCACAATTTAGTTCCAGACCAGTAAAGTAAACAGACACAGAAAGACAAGTGAAATCCCTGCGTACCTTCTTAGGTAGGCCATTTATCTATATGTTCACAGGTGCAGCCAATAAGGACAGTAGCAACAACAAAACATAGACTCCTGCACTGCAGCTGCAAAGCTAATGGAGACACGGAAAGAAATAACACCTCCCCCCTCAGGGAAGGAATTCTCACGAAAATAGCTTCTATTTTTGTCCTTTGAGTCTTCAGAAAAAGAAACACGAATGAACTGAGGAAAACAAGAAAAGGGCCCGACAAAGTTGTGTACAGATATATCAGCATAGGAGATAAATCACTTAGATGTTGTTGTTCACTGAACTGTTGAAGTCACATGTCCCTCACACATTTACAGATGTAGGCTACCTGCAGAAAACCAGCAGCAGCGGACTAAACACTCCCAGTGAAAGATCACAAGACTGCCACACGGAAACGGAGTCAAAGATCTTCATTCCAAATTTGGAACAAAAGCTTGTTCAAGTGCAACGCTAACAGTGAAGATCAAAGAACTCTTGTTCTCAACATATTCGACAAAATCTTCACAGCCACGTGTTTGCTTTAATAAATGGTAAATGTCATTAGTGAAGGTGTAAACCAGTGCTAATTACAAATGAGTACTATTTTGGTTTTCTTTCAGTTAAGACTTAATCATGGGGTGAGTGGGGCTGGGAAATTAAATCGAACATTTATCGTTATCAAAATTTCTGACTCTTATTGAGATAATTTTTCCCAATTATCAATAAATTTGATAATTAAAAAATGAAAAGACGTATGTAGGTTGACAACATTCATGTCCCTTTAAGAAGCTGTACCCATGGACGTAATTTGGGGGGGGGGGGGGGGCATGTCCCCCCCACTTTTTCCAAAGTCAAGTTTTGACCCTTGCACTTTTTACCATCCAAAAACAATATTACTTTATATTAAATTGACACTGGTTGAGCTCTAGGACCAAGCAGAAAACAACCGTTTGTGTTGAAGCCTGTTTCCCATTAGAACATACTGTAAAGATACCCCCTAACTTCTAAAGTGAAAATTACGTCCATGGCTGTACCACCTTGAGTCACGTTAAAATGTGACTCAACGCAATACATGTGACAGCCCCATCTAGTGGACAACTGTTGTTTCTGCGCATACCTGTAGTTATCCTCCATTTATCGTTATCGAGGTGAAATCCTCAATATATCGTGATATTGATTTTAGGCCATATCGCCCAGTCCTAGGAGTGAGTGTTGAAAATTCAAATGAGTTCCTTAATTTAGCACGTGTACGAAAAGGCCACCTGACCAAACGAATGAGGGATCTGGCAGCTGATTTTATAAAACCTCTGGTGACTCAGTTGCTGTTTTGTTTCTGGACAAAGATCTAATGGGCACAGGTGCAACACTATTGGCACATTTAAATATTAGCACAAGGAAGCATAGACTGCGAAAGCTTTCAAAACTTAGCAAGCCATACTTTTGGAGGATATCGCAAAGATGGTAGGCTTTTTGTCCATAATTTGTATTGCTTGATTATACAGTGAATCAATGTGCTTTATGACTGAAATCCTTGTCTGAGCCCAAACTGTCATGCAGTATGATCTATGAGAATATCGTAGCATGCTTGTACAGAAAGGCAGCCTCATTTGGAAGTAATGTCTGATTAAGAGAAAACAATTTGAATAGCTTTTTATTGTTTTTGAAATTTTCTTAAATTGTTTATCAAATTTATGTTGTGGATCAAGAACCAACCTGAGATACTTAAATACTGTTGCAGATTGGATGTTATTATCAATCAGATGTATTTGGAAACTTTGTTCCACATTTTGTTTTCTAATCAGACAGCCCATTGATACCGTTTTGGTTAAGTTGGAAACACGGTGGTTTTGCTTGAGCCATTGACCCACCTTAGCCATGCAGGCAGACAACACACCTACTGCCTGCTCTGGTGACTCAGCAGGGGCATAAAAAAACTGTGTTATCCAAATAAAGATGGCAACTGACACTGGGACATTATTTAGGATAAGTCATTTGCAAATAGACTAAACAGCAAAGGTCCCAGTATGGAGCCCTGTGGGATTCCCATCTGGAGGGTTAAAATTAAACTACAAACTAATGATTTAAGTACAGATTCAATGTTATACAGATTGTTAAGGTCAGCAAATTTTTACCTGCTCAACACAGAAATAAGACAAAAAAAGTGAAAATTTTACTCATTGCTGAAATTGCGTGATTTGATATTATGATGCTATACTAACTTCATGCATACATGCAAGAAAATACAAGAATTTTACTTTAATTTTTTTTTACCAAAATCTCCCAAGATTTTATAAGCAACTTGTTTAATGTAATTTCATGTAGGCTAAATCAAAATTTAGCCATCATTTTGATCTGTTTTATGTATAAATTAATGACAGAATGAATGAAAATATGTTCCAGGCAGCAGGTTATGCATTTGCTGCTGCACTGATGACCTATAACATCGAGTCAAAGCTCTCTTTCACAGTTTGACTAGTTATTTTTGCACACAGAAGCTAAGGGACAGTTATTGTGTTGAAATTTTGCGTGAAATAAAATAACTTGTTCATCCTGGAGACACTAAGACCTGTAGACACATTTTATCATCCGTTATTGAAGCAGGAAGTCATCATAGATGGAGCTTTAATAACAAAATATTATTCATAATTTATGTGATGTTTGCTTGGTTTGTATGCTTTCAACTTAATTTGAAAACTGCCCATTGTGTAACGTTTAATGATTGAAGATGTGCCTAAAAGTCCCCCCACCCAGCCACCAGCTCGACTGTTAGCTTCAGTGCTGTAGCAATAATCAAGCTGTTTGTGCTGATAAATGTCTGGTGTTTACTGACGTGATTTAGAAGCACTTTGTTAACTGAATCCCTGTTAAATACATTTCAATGACCAAAAAAAGCTGATTTGATCCTCAGTTTTATGGAAATCATCCTTTTTATTTGGTTTTAACAGAAAAATCCCATTTTGATCACACAACATAAAGCATCTCCACTTTTTATTTTCATCATTTAAAGCTTATTTATTCAGCTATTTTATATATAACCAACAAAAAATACTAATAAAACAAAACATCCATACAGATTTTAACTAACAAACATTGTAAAATTACACAAAGTGAACATATTAGGTGTATTTTATTTTTCTCACATTTCTTGTCTTGTTTTTTTTGTTACTTCTGTTTCCAGCTTCATTATCAGCCACTAGGAGGCACTGCAGAGCTTAGATATCACATCCCACAGTTTTGTTCTTATGATCTGTCCCTATAAGTCTGAATTAACAGCCAGACTCTTGCTGTGTTAATATGAAGACTGTGTGAATGTTTATTTAGATCTAAAGCAAATCTAGAAGTAAGCGGTGACAGAGTTGTCAGTATTTTAGCTTTTGTTAGCTTTAAACACGTAGAATGAGTCATGTCTTTGTACAAAAAGGGATTTAATGAATCAGTTTAGCACTTTGCACTAATTTGTTGTGTATTTTCTGTAAGTAAATTATTTGTAAAATTGTTTCTATTTATCTTCTTTTCTTTGTTTCCTCATCCTATAGCAACTGGAAATGTTTCATTAGACCCTGTGTTGGTTTTATTTGTGATTTCTTTTTTGTAGAGAAAAGTGAATAAATCTGAATTCTTGTTAAATCTGAGTGACTGACTTTGGACATGGACACCAAAAAACAGAAGGGTGTGTGCTCCTGCAAATGTTCACATGATTTCTAGTCATTTTCAGAGATGGACTAATTCACTCTTGGAAAGCAAAAAGACAGTGGTGCTTCCATTGGATGGCCGAGGGTGGCCAAGTCCCCCCTTGAAAGTTCCTGTCTCCACCAGGGAACAGCTCTCAAAGCCCTAATTAAAATTTTATTTCATTTTAGAGTTCAGACTTTTTAACCTTCCATGTAAAGTTTCTTTTTACTTACGTTGACGTGACCAAAGTCATTATACAAATAAGGTTAAAATTAAGAGTCTCCACATTGGAATAATTTGAATATTTTCTGAGATGTTTCCTTTACGCCCCTTGTTCTCCAGCTTCAAATAAGCTGGAAATGTTCATGATTCAAAGATCTGCTGAAAGTTTGAGAGTTTAATGAACAACGGGTGAGCTATTACTACTAATACATATTTGGTGCATAAAAGGATTTTCTTGTGATCAGAGTTCAAGCGAGTCCGGGTTTTAATGGAGACTCACCAGGTTTGGGTTTTAATGTGGAAAGTGACCATTATAACATGCTTGCTTCAGTTTTCCAGGAATCGCCACATGCAAATCAGTCACAACAGGTTCCAAAGGATGTCAAAGATTAAAATCTTTGTCAAAAGTGTTTCCCTTTAAAGTTATCTAATCCAAGTTTTTATTTTTTCAAAAAGTTCCCATCAAAACAGGAGTTAAAGTTTAGGATGAGGATGTGCACTACCTGCACTGCACTGCTTTGATTTCATCTGACCTTTTATTCATATTCTTTGGATCTTTAGGAACAATCTCATATAAAAATGCATATCAATACAATTGATCAATGAGGAAAACGTCTTTTGAATGTTTTAGTGGTTGCGCTGTAATTGTTTAATGTGCTTTCCCTAATATTTTTGTTTTGTTTTTATTTCTATAATTTTATTGTGGGGATATGTAGAAATGAAGCCTGAGATTACTAAAACACGCAGATCCTGTTAATTAAAAACAATTATATGCTCCTGTATTGAGTTTGTTATTGAAGACAAGGTGGTGTTTTAGATTTGATATTGAGATGGGCACACAAAAATCGTTCTGACTTTACTCCAACATTTGAACTGCATATTATCTTGCATAAAAGTTAGAAAAATGTTCTTTACACATTAAGGCTGTTGCTACAATCCAAATGCAGTGGTGGATAAATTTGAAAATTTTTAGGAATAATACTAGCAGATAAGTAGATATGTTAAAAAAATGAAGTAGAGGAATAAAACAGCATAACAAGCATGCATATGTCTATTTGCATCACTACTAAATTATAATACATAATATTCTGTGCTTACTTTTCTATCTTTTGTACATTAATAGCTGCTTTAATTTCATATATTATTTTTCATTGACTATTGAAAATTAAACTAACTGGGAATCTTCGTCTTTACACAAATGATAAACTTCAGCACACTGCCCTCTAGAGGCCAATCACTGTGGTGCATGTTAAACTTATGCCTGCAGCGCCATCTAGCGGTCAAATTGTGTAGTGCTTCTTTTCATGGTGGACCCCGAACATCCAATCAGCTTGTTCATCATTCATTTGGAGTTTGTGAGTGTAGCTAAGTGATGAAAGTGCACAAAGATCACGGTTTGGGTAAAATAGAGCAACATGCTGCTAACATCAGCTTCTCTGAAGAGACAGCGGTGATTCCCCCTGCCATCCGAACGCAGAAGAAGCCTGTGAAGTCATCTGATCCGGACCCCTCCAGAATGTCAGCCGTCATGTGGAGCCTGCTTCTCGCTTAACGACACCCTCTGGTTTCTCGGGGTGTCCAACTGAACGAGAACACGTCGACTTTATTTCGCCGGTGGGTTTCCCCCCTCCGCTTAAATTTGGACCAAGCGAAACTCGCGGGCCGGTGAACAGACACTTAGTGCGGCGGACAACATGCGCTCCTTAGCGGGACTAGCGGCCATCGTAGGGACGGCGAGCGTCTACCTCTACCTGCTGTCCACGCACCTTCCCCCGGGTCCGAAGCGGCACCAGTCGGCCTCTGAGGAGGACGGAGAGGCCGAGCAGGAGGACAGGTAAGGACACTGGTTTTAGATGGAGAATTATCACGTTGCTAAAGTTTACTTAAGTTCATTAATTAAAATATTATTTTTATTTTTCTATCAATCAATGTATATTGTTGATATTATATCTATAGTGAGGCAGGTTATAAACGTATAACTTTATAAATGGTCCTAAAGCTGTAGGCCTTAAATACAAAATTATATTTATATATTGACCATTATACAAATATTATGTAGTATTTCGCAATTCATAAACCTATTAGTTCTATTAATTTTTGTGTGTGTGCAATTGTCATATTTGACAGTGTTCCTTTCAAAATCTTAAAAAAGCTGCATTTGCCTTAATCCTGTCTCTTAATTTCATTATTATGACCATCTTAATTCAAATAAATGTCTATTTTCTCATTTTGTCACAAATCATCCCATTTCAACCACCTATAATGCAAAATTGATCATTAATAGTTTGCATCTAGTTTATAATAAATCAAACTGGTTTTTATTAAGCTGTCAGCCGAGTCTGTGGCTTTCAGGTAGACACAAATAAATTATGGCTCAACTTTATTTTAAAATTATTTTCTTCATTTGACACATTCAAACTCTTAAGAACGGGAATAGTAAATATAAAGGTAAATAAACCAAATAAACTAGATTCTTGTGGGAGGTTATTCTTATACTCATACCTCTTTTGAAAGCCCAAGGGGATTCCCCAAAATCCAAAAATAACCACACACCTTCCTGCATATAGTGAGAAATATCGCCCTAATAAATACTAAAAATGAAAATCAACCTTTACCTAATAATCTCCTAGACTTTTTGTTTTACATTTATATTAATTCATCAGAAAATAAACTCCTATATGCAGCATCATTTTCAATATTGCATGTGTTACTGGTAACATCTATGCCTTTTGTGCCTTAAACTGATAGTTTGCTGAATGAGTGTGTGTGAACACTGGTGTGTGTGTGTGTGTGTGTGTTGACATTGACAGTCAGATATGAGGTTGGTGAGGGATGATTGAATAACACCATCCCAGACGTCTGAGGCCAGTGCAGGTTCTGAGTCAGCGTAGGAGGGGATGTACCCTGTAAGTTGATATTTACTCAGAACATATATCTGAATCCTTGTGATTATTTCTGCTCTCTTCATGAACACTTGTGTTATTTTTTCCTCCGGTGACTCTCGTAAGCAAAATTAAAAAGTGTCCACGATGACACATTTCCCTCCTCGAATACTGTACATTCATCCATCCAGTCTCATGTGTGCTTTCATCACCGCGTGGTGGACCAATGACGGGGCAGAGCAGTTGTCTGCTGACCAGTAGAAATGAGGTGTGCTGAATGTGAAAGCAGGTGTTCGAGGAAGCTGCTTCTTGAGTTTCAGAGGGGGGTGGGAGTGAGGAGCTTCTTTTACCCGCTGCTGCGGTCTCCAGACATGGTCTCTATTTCTGTCCTTCAATCAAATATATCTGGTTACTCTTTTCCTTAGACACAAAATGATCACTTTCCTTTTTGACACATAAAGATAAATTAAACTGATGTGAAATCAGATAAAATGAGCATAGAGCTAGGATTGGGACAATATTCAATGTAACTTGTACCAAGTTTTGTAACTTGGAACATGTTTCATGACGTATAACATTGGATTCGTAACTTGTAACTTTAGTTTTCTAACTTGTAATTCTCAATTTGTACATGAATTTCTTGTTTTGTAACAGGAACATTGTATTTTGTACATGTATTTTATTTTGTAAAATCAAACTTTTATTTTGTACATTTACTACTCATTTTGTAACATCAAACATTCATTCAAAAACATGAAACTTTCGGTTTTTACCAAGCAGACTTCCAAAATAAAAAAAATCAATGTACATGTTTGAAATCAAAACTCTCAAAACACACATTTCATTCTACAGCTACAAACCTCAAATCTACAGTGTTACAAATAATTTTGTCTCGCGTCAGTGGGAGGAACTTGGGTGGAACCAATGAGAGCACGAGTCTTAGCTACCAATCACATTTCTCGGATTCCTGTCCAATCATTGGGAGAGGAGGGCAGGGTTCTGTCTCTACTCAAGGTCCACCCTTATCGCCCTTCAGGATTCTTCATGCCTTTGAATAAGGAACACTCGCAGCTCGGATCAGTTGCTAAATTAAAGAATGATATAATTTCTCAACAATTAAAAACACATTGTTTTGTATTTGCAGACTAACTTTTACATTGTGGTTTTAGAAGACAATACAGGTTTACTGATAGCATTTATGTGTTTACACTAACTCTTGTGGGGGGGACAACTTTGTGTGTGTGTGTGTGTGTGGGGGGGGGGGGGGGGGGGGAGACACCCCCCCCTGGGATCTCCGCCTATGCCTGTACCCTACCCCATGAATGATTCTTACTTTATTTAGCTAAATAAACAGTAGATATATTGTACTTTAATAACTGTTTTCCCAAACTTCATTTAAGCCCACAATATAATATTAAATGCATTGCTTTCTTCTTGTCTTTTCAAACCCAAACTGTTGAGCTGTGTTCTGATTTTCCTGCAGACTGACATTCCCGTCTGACCTGGAGTCTCTCAGAGAGCTCGCAGAGATGCTCAGGTTTTATAAAAGAGAACAATACAGCTACGTTCTGCTACTGTTCTGCAGCGCCTACCTCTATAAACAGTCATTCGCCATACCTGGTTCTTCCTTCCTGGTGAGATGAACTCACATTCTGTGTGGAAGCTTTGTCCTACTTTCTCTAATTGTGATAATCTTCCTCTCTCCTATAGAACATGTTGGCTGGTGCCATATTCGGACCCTGGGAGGGTCTGGTTTTGGCCTGTTTCCTTGCCACTTTTGGCTCCACATTCTGTTTCCTGCTGTCCTTGACATTTGGGAAACAGTATGTGGTTCAATTCTTTCCTGAGAAGGTGGCCCTTCTGCAGAGGAAGGTAGATGTGATGGTCAAAAAAGAGAAATAATTTATAGTTTGTAGCAGGAATGTCTAAAACAGCTAATCATTTATGGAATTTTATAAACCTATATTTCATACATTTCATCTGTGTTTTCCTTTTCCAAATGTTTAAAGCTCAAATCCTGAGTTTTACTCAGAGGGCACCATCTAGAGGCAGAAAAATGCATCACACCTTAAGCCCCTCTCCCTACTTCCATGATTCATCGGCTGGAAGCAACACCTCTCGTTCTTGAACATGCACTTCTAGCAGCAATGCTAAAACACATACATACACAGACGGCATGAATTGTACACAGGTGTGCCTTAGTCCGGCCAAAACAAAAAGCCACTTTGAAATGTGCAGTTTGATCTCACAGCATGATGCCACTGATGACTCAACTATTGAGGGAGCGTTGAATTGGCATTCTGAATACAGGAATGTCCACCAGAACTGTCGACTTTAAAACAAATGTTCATTTCTTTACTATAAACTATCTCCAAAGGCATTTCAGAGAATTTAGCACTACATCCAACCAGCCTCACAAATGCAACTACGTGTAACCACCCCAGCCCAGGACCTCCACATCCAGCATGTTCACCTCCATGATCGTCACCAGCCACCCGGACACCTGAAATAATCAGTTTGCATAACTAGAGGATTTCTGCTAACACTGTCAAAAACCGCCTCAGGGAAGATCATTTGCATTCTTGTCGTCCTCCTCGGGTCTGGACTTGACAGCAGTTTTTCGTTCTAACTGGCCTTGAGTAGGCAAATGCTCACATTCAATGGCATTTGGCACATTGGAGAGGCGTTCTGTTCATGGGTGAATTCTGTTCTGGGCGGATGTCAGACAGCACGCGGTATTATTTGGGTTAGCAATTTGCTGACATCATTGTTGTGGGTCGAGTGACCCCAGGCGGTGGTGGGGTTATGGTACGGGCGCATATGCTATGCGCAATGAACACAGGTACATTTTATTGATGGCATTGTTGGTTTGTGGTCACCTGTTGAGGTGTGATAATGAATGGCCCTCAAGATCTGTACAAAATTCCTGGAAACTCATAACATCCCAGTTCTTGCAAGGCCAACATAATCATCTAGTAACATGGGAAGTTGGGGTGCTGCAGCCCCCCCCACCCCCACCCCCCCCCACCCCCTTTGCTGGTGACCTCTAAGATTTATTTACCACAATGGTGCAAAAGTGAATTTTAGACTTTGCAAACTATAAAGTTTAAACTAAAAGTAATAACTTTCTTTCTAATCCTCGTTTCCCTCACAGCCTATTCCCTTTTACTTTTCCTTCTTTAAGGTGGAAGAGAATCGTAGCTGCCTATTCTTCTTCCTCCTTTTCCTTCGTTTCTTCCCCATGACTCCTAACTGGTTCCTTAACATCACTTGTCCTGTCCTCAACATCCCCATCTCCATTTTCTTCTTCTCTGTGTTTATAGGTGAGCTCATATATCGAGCATAAAACAGTAAAGACCCACAAACGAGCAGGAACACTGATGACCAAGTCTCTGATGTCTCCTTCCAGGTTTGATCCCGTATAACTTCATCTGTGTCCGTACGGGCTCCATCCTGTCTCAGATCTCCTCTCTGGACGACATCTTCTCTTGGGGGACGCTGGCTCAGCTTCTGGCCATCGCCCTCGTAGCTCTCCTCCCTGGAGCGCTGATCAAACACTACAGCAAAGCTCATCTGAAGGTGGACGGCGTTGGCAGCAATGAGACCAGACAGCTGGAAATCAAACAGGATCGGAAGAGACGGTGATTAAGGGGGGAGGAAAGTAGAACTTAATGTGGGAAAACCCCTCGACACGTAGGCATGTGACCTTTCATCTGAGCCAGAAGTGAGATTTCTGTAAGGTCATACCAGATGGGTGTCACACTCGGGGCATGATTTTGGTCTTAGGTTACAAACCAACTTCATTTATTTAATTAGTTATTTTTTTAGAGGAAATTAAAGAGGGCATCCCCTCATTTGTTACATTTTCAGTGGTCTCTAGTAGAAAAGATGCCTTGCTAGTTATTCCCTGTGGGAAAAAAGCTCTGGCGCTCCTGTTTCAGGAAGTAGAATTTAGCTGGAGGAGTGGGGAGATTTGGAGTCTTATGATAAGTGAACATCTCACCTCTGACTGGCTAACGGCAAAATGACTCGTCCACTGCCTTCATTCGTTCTGCAACACTGATGTTTTATTTCCACAAATAACACAAGCCTGAAGGAATTCTGCCATTTGGTGGAGTTGCTAATGCTAACAGTTAGCTTCTACTAGCCAAGATGCACTCTACTTTCTCCTAGTTGCAAAAATAAAAAGCCTTCCCCATCATGAGCCAAGATGGGTGAGTCTATGAATGCTAATCTACGTGACGTAGATCTGTGACTTTCTCTGACCCAAGTGTTTTCCCATCTATATTCTTTCAGCGGCTAATGAAGGAAAACTATTTTCACGTTTAGCCTGCATGTGAAACTCGGGAGTGAAGAACATACTTAAAAAATAAAGCAAACATCCTTTGTTTCTCAGTGCAACTTACCTTTAAAATCCCTTCAACATCCATGGATTCAAGTGCCTTAAAAGCCCCGGAGCTTCATGTTCTGTTCCCGAATAAATCCCATTTCGCAGAAAATGTTATTAAAATTATTTCAGGTGCAACTGAAATTATGAAAAGTTAACCTTTTACCGTGATCTGTTAAGTCAGAAAAATGTTTAGACAGATGATGAAATGTCTTATTACAGTGGCTCAAAGTGTTACTGAAAAAGCTCAAAACAGCAATCTGATTGCTGATTGACCAACAGAAAAATATTGGTGGTTATATTCAGTTCATAAACACACCACTAATAAACCACTTTCTTTTAGTGTTTGTAGCATTCAGAAATGACACAAAAATAAACATTTAGAATTTGTGTCATTTTTTTATATTTTGGGTGCATAAAACTATATTTTTATGAATTTGTCTTCATTTTTATGCCAAAAATAACAATTAATCATTATCTAGTAAATGTTTACATTTCAATTCACATGTATTTTGTTTAAAATTGTTCCCGTCCCTTAACAGACTGCTGTTTAGGCTTGTCAACTTGTGCCAAACCCTAGCCTGCCAAGCCGTGTAACTAAATAGACTGGCCACAACCCACTGATGGCTCTGAGTCATGAAGAGGGATCTACGGCTGCCTTTCACACAGACAGTATAGATGAAGACACTCCTTGGACTGGCGCTGTCTATTGGAGCTGGCATAGTAGCGGGCCACCATCTTGGATGGGTCCCCATTTGTCCCCAGTGCATTTATTTCTACTGAGGAAGGTGCTTACCTAGTCAGATATTTAGTATGGCATGACAATTAGAATATAAATATATTTAAACTAAATAAAATAAAATATAAAGTCCCAACAGGTAGACTAGAAAAGTCAATAGTAATCACATATGATCTGTTTTCAAAAGTACACCGGTTGTTGCGACCATAAGCTGTACAAAAACGAACATAGTTGTTCACCCTGCGTTGACTCCGGTTTGGTTTGGAGAGTGAGGGACCCATACAATATGGTGGCGACGCTGTTGTGCTCTCCAGCACCCAATGGGGCATTTACATATTCATGTTTGATGTCTTTCAAACTGTCTCCGCAGGCTATTGGACAACAAACAACATATTCAGAGCTACCGATGTCAGTCAGTGGGGCAGTCTGCCATACACCGTCGAAAAAGATGAAAATCCATAGTTTTTTATGAATAAACTTAAGAAAAATTATTTGCTCTTGACTCAAAGAAAAGCCCAACTCTAAACAGTCCAAAGTTCATGCCAAAGATGGCACTGGCTCATTTGAAATGAGCCAGTGCCATCTTTGTTTAACTTCCCGCTCACCAAACTGAGCGCTGTGATTGGCGAATCAATCAGATAGAGCTCTGTGATTGGCCAGGCACCAGAGTAACCAGGGCTGCAGAGGTTCCAATGGCGCGTGGCTAGACCGACATGCAGAGCAAAATCATTTTGCTTTGGCAGCTGATGTTCTACATGTAGATTTGTAGGCTAGCCAAACCCAAGATGTTATCCATGTAGGGTCTGTGTGCATCCCTCTAAACACACAAACTGGTATGTTGCATCAAGTTTTTGTGAATTGAAACTAATTGATGTTTTTTTTGTGTGGTTCAGAGAAGGCCTTAGCTTTAGTACACCCGGGCCAGATGCATATCAAGTGTGTATTTGTCCAATTGATTTATTTCTAACATAAATATTTGTTTTTCCAGCTGTGATTTATTTGTTCAGTTTTTTTATTTGGATATTTCTTCTACAGGATCCCGTCCTCTTAATTCATGCTAGCATTTATAATTGGCATTCTATGTGTAATTTCAGAAGTGAGATCATGCGATTACAATGTGTTATTTTTTATTTAATTACTTAAGTGTAATTCATATGAAAGCAAAGAAAATCATGTCATGTTAATATTTCTGTTTTTTCACACACAGTTTACTAAAAACTAAACAGATGCATGCATCTGGCTCCAAAAACGAGCACAGAGCTGTGTTGAGTTACTGTTCTTCTGTGTTTAATGATTAAAACATGCAGCCCCCTAAATGTAGGATATATTGTTTTAGTTTGGATTTTTAATGATTTCTTTTTAAAGAACTTGAAAATGTCTTAATGTAGTTGTGGCAGCAGATGATAGAATTATATGGAAATTTATCAGGGTTTAACATGCCGTTTATTTTTCTTAAATGTTTAATTGTTGTTTAAACAAATGTTATTTAGAAGAACATTTGTTTTGTCTTGCACCAAAACACCCTGGAACGGCTTGCAGCAGATGTTTAGTTGTGTTTGGTTGATTCTTTTTTCTCTAGATTTAAGAGGCAAATATGAGCCAGGGGTTTTATTTTAACATTAAAATGAATACATTCGATTTTTTCCAGCAACACATGATGTGCCTTTATAACACAGCTGTTTTAAGTTCTAAATTATGTCGCTTATCAGGGAGTCAGTTCAAATAATGCAGTTTTTCTTTTGAAAATACACAAAAAAATAAACAATCATGCCATTACAGAAGGGTGTTTTAGTCAGAATTCAAACTTTGAATTAGTAAAAAATAAAAAAGTAGGATTTTGGATGCAAAGAACTTTTTATTTGTGCCCTCAAAAGGTCATCAACCCTGTTTGATCAAAGAAAATGCAGAAAAAATACTAACAGTAAAGTTTATCTCAAAGTAAAAGCTATCTTCCATCTTCTTACACACACACACACACACACACACACATACACACACACACACAAGTCCTTATTAAATCACATCCACGTCAGCTCAGGCAGTCACCATCAAAATCAAACAAATATGCAAACTTAGTTCATTTTTGTTCACACGAGTTTTCAGAAGAGAGAAGAATATGCACTGGTATGAGAGAAAATGGTCATCTTGTATTCTAGATCGTTAGGTCAAGTCAAAGTCGTTTTTGCAAAATATCTGCATAAACCAAGACGAAAATGATAGTCGTTCTATTTTGTGTGCATATTTCACCATTCATCATCTACGTGTTAAGTCCAACGCTGTAAACATCACAAATCAGCAGGTGTACCAGGTTTGTAAACAGTTACTCAAAGGTTTAGGGCCAGGTGTGACAGGGGGGAGGGGAGACGAAGATCTATATCATCAAAGGAGGTCCCAGGAGAAGGGAGGAGTCAAAGGCCCCACCTGACATATACAGTCATACACAAACACAGTCACACACTCCCTCCCTCATGCTCACACATGCACATACAACCAAAGACTTACAAAAATACACGCCGGACACCCATTCATGCTCCCCATACACACCCTATTCACTCTGGTCCCGGTAATGCTGCACATGGGGTACAACCACCACCGGTTACCAGAGTTTGACCCTTTCTGCTGGGGTGCTGATGAGCAGGCTCCCCCGCCCACCGCCGAGCACAGCAACCCACCACCCCAGACCCCAACCAGACGGCCAGATCTCCCTCCTAGTCTCCAGCCCCAGGCAGCCAAGCAACAACAGAGGTGTGCTAAGACCCCCTGGTCTCCCTCCACCTGCTCCAACATAGTGTTGTGTGTTAATGAGGTGTATTCTATTGCTGTGGTGAGCGGGCAGTGCGGGCATTTTCTGGCCTATGCCAGCTGATGCCACTGCACCACCCTACTTGCACCCACAGCCCTTGGTGTCTAAATGCAGTTTAAAATTCGAAGTGGGCACCGGCACTCGGGAGGAGGCTGAGAACTCCCCCTGCCAAGTGCCGTTGAATGTGCTCACTCCCAAGGCCCTAAGTGTATGTTTGCGTGGAATGTCGTCGGTGGAAGTGCATAAGGTGCAAATAAAATTGGGGGGCGGGAAGCCACAGGAATGCGGAAATGGGGTCCATACCCGCACTCCTCGACTTGTCCACCCCCCAAGGTCCTATGTGCATGTTTGTGTGATGATGTGAGGGAGCAGGAGGAGAGAAATAAACGGGGATGGGGAGGAATGGCTGGTAGGGCTTAGCCCTCCAGGGAGCCAGCTCCCCCACTGACCCCAATAGGCACCTCCGTTGTCATACCGCCGCCCAGGGCATGGAGACCCCAGCCCATCCTGCCAGGGCCCAAAGCAGCAGCATCACAGAGCCCCACAGAGCCCGAGGGAGCCGACCCAGCCCCACCCCAGCAGAATATCTATGCCCATCCCTGCATTTGCACAACTTCCAGAATATATAAGACATAAGACATCCAGGTAAGGTTGGGTCCTCCCCCTCCTGGACCTCCCCCTCCCCTGTGATGGGTGTGTGATGCCTTGGTCTGCCTGAGTGTTCGTGGATCCCGGGTCAGGGAGTTTAAGATTTTTGGCATCTGCCTGATCAATCCCGGTGGCGGCCTGGGGGGGTCTGGGTCCCTGGGCTCTGCTGGGTCCCCGGCGGGGGTGGTCGCCCCTGGGTCCCGGGTCGCTGGGTCCCGGACTCGGCCGGCTAGGGGGTGGGGGGCTGCGGGCAGGCCTGAGGACTTGCCGCTGATATCTCCCGGGGCTCTGCCGGCTGCTGGTTGTGGCCCCCCGGGGCGATCCTCTGTGCCTCTCGAGGGGGGCGGGGACCTTTCTGGTTGCGGGCTCCTTGGGGTTCCTGTGTTCTGGGGCAGCGCCTGGATCTCTGGGACTTGGAGCTCCCCCCCGTCTCCTGCGCGTCTTTGGGGGGCAGATCTGTGGTCCCTCACACTCTCTATTGGACGCTCCTATAGATAAACCTTACATAAACAAGCGCGTGTACACACACAGGTGCTCACATGGTGCTCTCATAAGTATGGGCTTGGGCACGTTCAACACATGTCTTAAGACTATGGTGGGCACTCAATGCACTGTGGTATATTATCGTGTGACTGTTTAGTTAAACAATGATTGATTATATATTTCTTCATCAAGTTGACGCAGTGATAGCTTGATTTTGTTATATTGGTGTTGTGTCCCATTTTTTTGTTATGTTTTGCTTTTTTCTCGTCTCATTTTGCAGGTCTAGAAGCAGACTCTTGTTCATTATTGTTTATTTTTGTTGAATCCCCCCCCCCCACCTAACCCCCTCTCTCCCCACCTTTTCTCTTTTCCTTTCTCTTTCACCTCTGTCTCCGTGTCTGGTCGAAATTACAAAGCATTCAAAAACAATAACAATAAAGTTTTAAATATCAGGTGCGACATTAAAAGCAGACTCTTTGATGCTCCACCTGAGACATTAAAAGCAGATGCTCTGATGCTCCACCTGAGAGTAAAACTGTAAGGCTTGTTACCAGCATTCAGACATCAATTCTGTTTGCTTCACAGCCAGACAGGACACGTTAAAAAAAAAAAAAAAAAAAAAAAAAAAAAAGGTTTAGGGCCATACAGCAGAACAATTATGTGTTTCACCTAAAGAGCAGGTTTGGAGCTAAAACCTCCAACCAACAAATGAGAAAGGCATCTGAGCTGACTTCACAAGTTCATCCATATAGTAGAATAAAAATAAAAATTCACCAGAAGTGCTTCGTATTCACAGGAAACGAGTTATAAACTGCAAAGATGAGCATCTTCTGCAGCAGCATCACAACATGAAATATCCAGTGTTTTTGCATAACTCAATGTTCTGTTCAATAAGTGCAAATGGTTCAGCGCTGTGCAGAAATCTGAACAGCTGATTCATGCAAGGAGTTAGCACGAAGCCTAGTGGCTCAAAGACACAGCGTGCAGAACAACACTTATGTTAGGGGTGGTGTCACAAGGGGTGGTGTCACAAGAAGGAGTTTAAATCCCGATCATGAATCTTCCTGCACAGAGCAATTAGTCATGTTTATGAGCACAGAAAACACGTGAGTAGAAAGTTAACAAGATCTGGTCCACAGCCTGAAATGGTTTTACAGGCAGTGTTTGATCTTACAAGCTTCCTTTAAAACATTTCTACATCCTTGGTTTGCTTTCTAGTCCCTTCTCCAAATACATAGCTTATTAGGGAGTCTCCTTCTTAGTTTAGACACAAAAGTGATGCTAAACTGGACAAAAGGAGTTTGTAAAAACACGCAATCAAATGTACAATTTAAAGCTGTTATAACAAACCAGGGAAGAACAAAATAGCCTAAAAGTCCCAAAAAGAAAAACACAATAAAAGTCAAACAAAGACGAAGGACCTAGAAAACGGCGACTGGTGTTTAGCACCGTCTCGTTTTGTCCGGCATCGCTGGTATCCGGTTACGGCTGAAGCGTCTCAGGGAAGGGAGAGGTGAGTGCTCTTTAAACGTGTTTGCGTTCAAAACCTAGCTTGTTTGCAGATTTGCTATAACAGCTTAAATCATTTTAAACTGCAAAAAAATAAAAACTGATTTCAGAGGCAAATCAGCGATGGATCTTTGGGTCTCTAATCCAGTCAATCTTTAGTAACCATTTGGAAACACTGCATCATAAATCGCTTCCATTTTGACGCCCCGTAGCTTGTCGTCACATCCTCATGTGTTCGTGGACCATCTCTCGTCCTGTGAGAAGCGGTACAGCACAGTGGGCTCATCCCTGAAGTCGTGCTGGCCTGTAAGCTGATGGAACACTCCTCCCTGCAGAAGGCGAACGGCGTACAGTTTGGCCTGGGTCCGTCCCACACACAGACCTCGTTCCACAAGCCAGTCGACCAAATCGCTGCCTCGAAACACACTTTTGAGATTAGACTGGGGCTGGCTCTGAGCTTGGGTAGAGTATAGAAGGGAGGTCTGGTCATCCTCTCCTTCCAGGGTGTTATGTGCATGAAGTTCATCCTGAGGCTCTGGGCTGGATGGGAGTGGATCATGAGGTGGTTGCAGGTTCTGGGACTCATTGCGTTGTTGCTTCTGTAGATCTTGATTTGTGTTTAAGTACTCAAGATGCCCAACTCCATTCTCCCCCACTTTCCTTTCTACAAACCTGCGACAATCAGAGGAAGGATTCACCTGTCGACACGTTCACACTGTCCCCTGATCCACTACAAGGTGATGAAGAAAACAGGAAGAGGGAAGAAATAAGGGAAAGAGGAGCAGGAAGAGATGAGGGACAAGATTAAATCGTGTGAAGATGCAGGAAAAGTGCAGTAGAAATGGGTTTAAAGTAAAGTAAGAAGAGTACCCAAGATTTAAAAATATCTAAGAGTTAGATTTTTTAAGCAGCATTTAAGAACCTTATAAAGTGACAAGGATCAGAACTGCTCAAGCAGAGCCAGAAAGATAAAGTCAAATCAGAAAAGAGGATCATTCATAATTATAAAGTACTTATTTTGTAAGATTAAGAGGAGTTGAAGATTTTCCAGCAGACCTTAATCAGCTCAGGATAGATTGCTTGATAAAAAAAAAAAAAGTTTATCTGGCATGAATAACCCATATATTAGAATAAATGTACAAGTATCTCTCTCTATCCCTGTGTATACAGTAAACACATATATACACATTTTTGTGTAAGTTCTGTATCAGTTTTTAACTTTGTCTGTCACAACCTTTACATAGCATGCACATAATATACATGGTGGGAAAAACTATTTGCCCCCTTCCTGATTTCTTATTCTTTTGCATGTTTGTCTCACAAAATGCTTCTTATCATCAAACACGTTTAACCATTAGTCAACGATAACACAAGTAAACACAAAATGCAGTTTTTAAAATGGTTTTTATTATTTAGGGAGAAAAATAACCAAACCTAAATTGCCCTGTGTGAAAAAGTAATTGCTGCCCTTGTTAAAAAATAAATAACCTAAACTGTGGTGTATCACACCTGTGTGCAATTTCTGTAGCCACACCTGTTTCAACGAAAAATCACTTAAATATGAGCTGCCTGACACAAAGAAGTAGACCAAAAGCAAGACATCACGCCAAGATCCAAAGAAATTCAAGAACAAATGAGAACAAAAGTCATTGAGATCTATCAGTCTGTTAAAGGTTATAAAGCCTTTTCTAAAGCTTTGGGACTCCAGCGAACCACAGTGAGAGCCATTATCCACAAATGGCAACAACATGGAACAGCGGTGAACCTTCCCAGGAGTGGGCGGCCGACCAAAATTACCCCAAGAGCGCAGAGACAACTCATCCGAGAGGTCACAAAGACCCCAGGACAACTTCTAAAGAACTGCAGGCCTCACTTGCCTCCATTAAGGTCAGTGTTCACGACTCCACCATCAGAAAGAGACTGGGCAAAAACAGCCTGCATGGCAGATTTCCAATACGCAAACCACTGTTAAGCATTAACCACATTAGGGCTCGTCTCAATTTTGCTAAGAAACACCTCGATGACTGCCAAGACGTTTGGGAAAATCCCTTGTGGACTGATGAGACAAAATTTGAAGTGTTTGGAAGACAAATGTCCCGTTACATCTGGTGTATAAGTAACACAGCATTTCAGACAAAGAACATCATACCAACAGTAAAATATGGTGGTGGTAGTGTGATGGTCTGGGGTTGGTTTGCTGCTTCAGGAACTGGAAGGCTTGCTGTGATAAATGGAACCATGAATTCTACTGTCTACCAAAACATCCTGAAGGAGAATGTCCGGCCGTCTGTTCATCAACTCAAGCTGAAGCGATCTTGGGTGCTGCATCAGGACAATGACCCAAAACACACCAGCAAATCCACCTCTGAATGACTGAAGAACAACAAAATGAAGACTTTGGTGAGGCCTAGTCAAAGTCCTGACCTGAATCCTATTGAGATGCTATGGCATGACCTTAAAAAGGCGGTTCATGCTAGAAAACCCTCAAATAAAGCTGAATTACAACAATTCTGCAAAGATGAGTGGGCCAAACGTCCTCCAGAGCGCTCTAAAAGACTCATTGCAAACGCTTGATTGCAGTTCTTGCTGCTAAGGGAGGCCCAACCAGTTATTAGGTTCGGGGGCAATTACTTTTTCACACAGGGCAATGTAGGTTTGGATTTTGTTTTCTCCCTAATAAAAATCATTTAAAAACTGCATTTTGTATTTACTTGTGTTATTTTTGACTAATGGTTAAATGTGTTTGATGATCAAAAACATTTTGTGTGACAAACATGCAAAAGAATAAGAAATCAGGAAGGGACAAATAGTTTTTCACACCACTGTGCATCAAACTCCAGTTACTTCTACTTTCACTCAAAATGTTTTTTAAGTGTTTAAATACGTTTGCTTGTTTTGCACCTATGACCAAACAGAAATTGCAGTAGTTGTCATATTTTGAACAGATAATGCCTGAAGTTTAAAGACCAAGGTGACACATTTTTTAACACAGCTGCAGTGGTCTCAAGTAAAAGCTCTGGCGCTCCTGTTTCAGGAAGTGGAATTGAGCCAGATCAGAGTTGGTTTGAAGACGGCAGGACCTTGAGTCTTATTTCTAGATATTTGGACATGTCACCTCTGATTGGCTAACAGAAAATTGACTCACTGACTCCATTTTATTTGCAATGTTGGTGTTTAATTTCCACAAATAACACAAGCCTGAAAGAGTTCTGTCGATTTGTGGAGTAGCTAAAGCTAACGGTTAGCTAGTTAGCTGAGATGTGCTCTGCTCTCTCCTGCTAAATCAGCAAGAGCTGTCCCAGTCGCGAGCCAAGATGGGTGAGTCCATGGATGCTATGTTGACAATATGATGTGCAACTGACTGGTTTTTCAACTAATGCTGGCAAATGCTAACCACTCAGCTGCTAAACAACCCTGCAGCAAGCTAACTCTTGCAGCTTTTTTTCTAAATGTATTTAGAAACTAAAATAACTTCAAATGAATAACTGTGTCGCTTCGCTGGAAGCCACAACATGAACTTTGGTGTTTTTGTAGGTAAAGAAAACTTCTAATCAGTTGTCCAACTTTTCAAATGTGGGGAAATGTTGAGGCGATACCCTGCTCATTCTGTCTTCATGTCCTACTTTTGAGATACTAACTGTAGCCAAGTACTTTGGAACGTCTCCAAGTCTTAATACCTTTAAAACTTTGAAAATACCTACTTGAAGTCTACGAGTGCATTCTACAAAGAATAACACGTGCACGCAGTAATACTCGTACCTGCGTGTGTGTACGATGTCTTGTACACATTGGTCTTTGTGGTAGCGGACAAACTGGGTACAGGTGAGCCTGACCTCCTCGGGTACAGCAGAAGGACTCAGATCCTCACCCTCCCGGCCCTGCCACTGGCTGAGCAACCTAAAAAACACACAGATGGAAATAAAAGCAGTTTCAGGTTTTTATTCTAAATAATCTAAAAACATGCTGCTGACATCTCAGCTCACCTCTTCATGAACGGTAAGGTGATGAGATGTTTGTCCAGACCAAAGATTCCAAAGGACAGAAACCCCTGGGACACAAAAACAAACTATACTAATCAGAGCCTACGATCTTCAGTAACAGGTCGAAACACCAGTAAAGAAACGACAGCCTGCAGAAGTACCTGTCCATAGTTGGCCACAGCACAGAAAAACTGCAGTTCCAGGTACAGTCGGCCTGGGTCTTTGTTGAACAACCACCACAGACAGCTGGACAGATTCTACAGAGAGATGGGCACAAATTGGTAGGAGTGCAGATATAATCTGTTGTTTTTATTCAAAAAATATCAAAGTTATCTAAGCAATGTCAACAAATGCAAAAGGCAAGTCTACAAGTGTGAAAGTGCAGTGGGGACCATTTGTGGGGAACACAAAAACAGATAAAAGTTCTGCCTAGCCGTTTCTCGATACCCACAAATGCTAGTAGGTTACGGGAGTGCGGGAGGAAGAAGCCGGCATTTGGAACAGAACCATACTCCGCTGCATCATGGCAGCAAGTGCTGTTTGCTGCTATCGTTAAACAAACAACCTGACATAAAAATAAAAGTCTAGTTTGTTTCTTAAATAACAAAATAACATCCATCCATCCATAATCTGAACCCACTTGTCCATGCAGGGTCGTGGGGAGCTGGTTTGGACTTTTCTCATAAACACTTTTTATCCTCTGTGGGATTATAACAATCTACATGAGGTTGTGTCGGTAGAAACTAGAGTTATAAACCAAATTGGAACTAATCTGGGGTCTCATTTATCAAACATTGTGTAGAATCCTTACTAAAACCGTACTTAAGCTCAGCAAAAAAATAATGTACTCACGCCAAGTAGGTTTGTGATCTATCAAACATGGAGTACGCACAGCTGCACGCAATCTCCGCTTCATAGATCAGAAACTAGAAAGGTTCTCAGCTGCTTTTTAGTCACATCCCACCCTCACCACGCCCACTTACTGCCATAAATAGTCAATGCAAAGTGCCTTGTGGATCTCATGCATATACATAAGCCGGCTGTTGCAGCACTCCGCCAATGACATGGCGACCATAGATCAAGGCAGATCAAGGAAGCACAATTTCACAGAAGCAGAAATTGAGGTACTTCTGGGTGAGATGGAGAAATGAAAGGAAGTGCTTTTGCAAAACAAATAAGAGAAAATGCACGGAGTGGCACAGCGTTGCTGAAGCCGTCAATGTTGTGACTTCTTCAGAGAGATCTGTGGCGATATAAAAAAAATGGTCCAATCGGGATTCGATCCCCAGACTCCCGGGTGAAAGTCATGTGTGCTAACCAGTCAGCCAAACAGAGATCTCCCCTGCACAAGTAGCCAGGGCGCACAGTGACAGGACACACACTGTCACAAACGCATGATATTCTGTCTCAGTCTGTCCCCCTGCTGATATTCTGCATTCCGTATTCTGCGCTTCAGTGTGTGTGTGTGTGTGTGTGCGCACGTGTGCATGTGGGGGTCTTGTTCTGTGTGAAAACGAAGCAGTACAAGTGATAATGCTGCAGGATTTCGCAATTTTATCCTTCTCAGCTGCAGCACTGCAGGTGCTCTCCATGTCCAACATGTGCGTAAGCCAGGTAAGCCAGTCAACTTAAAGTTGAGCACATTTTTCCACTAAGTTTTCTTTCATAAATCCCAAAGTTTGCGTGGAAAGTTGCTTACGCAGTTTTCCGACCCCGTTTTGTGCGTAAGCAAGCTTGATAAATGAGACCCCTGGACTATAGTTACTTTGTATGGTTGTAATGCCGTGTTGAAAGCGCTATATACGTAAATAAAGTGGTATGGTATGGTAAAACATAAAATATTTCTAAAATTCACTGATTAAAGCTCCTTTCTGCCTTTACATGACTTTTTTGGCTCTAGTTCACAACTTTCCATGTGATCTATTTATATATCTAGAGTTTTAGATTTAGTTTTGGAATTCTTTAACTTCCAGATATCATGATCGTTAAAATAAGGTCTTAGGCTCCCTTTTATTTCTGGATGTTGTTCCAATTATTTAATATAACATTAAGACTTTAAGCATTTTAAGCGAATGCCGTGATCATACATTCACACAAAGGGAAGGTGGTAACTTTTAAGATATTAGTCTCTTACTGCCAGCAGGCTGACGATGAGCAGCAGGCAGAGGAGAACGTGTCTCACAATCTGTTTATCATCAGTGGTCTGAAGGCCTGGAGGAGGCAGATTCAGAGGCTGCTCTGAGGAGGAGGATCTCTGCTGTCCGTCAAACAGCGCCTCACCGTGGACTGAAGAGGAAAAACAATCAAAAACTGGTTTTCCGTTTGGAAAATGGTGACTGGTGTTAAGCACTCTCTGGTTTCTTCTGGCAATGCAGGTTTCTGGTTCCAGCAGAAGTGTCTCAGGGAAGATACCCGAGGGGAGTATTCCGTGACCTTGTTTACGTTCAAAACCTAGCTTGTTTTCAGATTGGCTATAGTAGCTTTAACAGCAGAGTCGGTTTAACTGAATTTGTTTACCGGTACTGTTGGTGTGCTCCCTCTGTGTGCTGGCGATCATGTCAGGTAGAGGCTGGAGAGGAGAAAAACTCTGCAGATCTGCAAAACAAGAATAAACCAGCTGAAGTTCATCTCAGAACGCTCAAGTCAGAAACAGCTGAGCTACCTGAGTTGATGCTGCAGGTGGGGGAATTTGCAGTCCGAGTCTGCTGTTGCTCTCGTTCCTCCGGGCCACAGGGGGCACTGTGGTCGTCTCTGGTGTCTGGGACAGCAGCTCGGCTCAGGGCCTGGTACCCCGTCTGCTCCCGGTCGCCCTGACTGAGACCCATCAGGGATACGGCACCGAGGGCCAGGCTGACGGCAAGAACCACAGCTGAGCAGATTATCTGGGGTGGAAGAGGAAAAACTTGGGAAGAGTGAATTAAACTTGCCCAGTAGAATTATTAATATGTCTGTTTAAATATTAAATCAACATTAAAGATCAAATGAACACAGTACAGAGGAGGGAAGGAGTCATACAGACAGGAAAAACATGGTTAAGAATCAATTAACTTTAATTACAGTTACGTCCCCTCTGGCGTCTAGGAGTGGTGAGGGGAGAACACAGAGAAAAATAAAATAACGTAAAATAAAAGGGATGGTGCCTGTTTGTGATTGTAAATAAGTGAATAGAAGGAGGTTAATTGAATGGTTGTTTCAAAAGGTTTGTTTACAAAAAGTTGGATAAAAAGTATTTAATAAGTAAACTAAATAAACTCCCTCTGCTAAAACAGGGAGCAGCAAACCGACAACAACTTAAAGCGCTCTCTCTGGTGTTAACCAGAGAGAGGAGACCAAGAAGGGAAAACACGCCTATTTAAACTAAACCGACCACTAAAGAAACAAAAGGATAACCCTAAACCATTACCAAAACCAAAACGACCCACAAAACAGAAGCTCGAAATCTCCTTAACCAAAAATCCTCCAAAACAAAACAAGGAGCCAAGCTAAACTGAGGATTAGGAGATTAACAGTAACTGGAGGCAAAAAGGCACAAAGTATCTATATCAAAACTCTGGGGCACTAACAGCAAACCAAAAACCCAAGAATGGAGATCACAGTAACTAGCAACAGAGTCTATGAGAGATCACAGTTTTAACACCGGGTCTCTTCTGTAGCTGTGTCTCCCATAATGATGGAGTTGGAAGGGTTAAGAAGGCTTCAGGAACGGCTGATGATTGATTGGGTGCAGCTGCTCCACAACCCTCTCTGCTGGCCTCTGGTTGTGTGTTAGCCTAGTGAACTAGACCAAATTCTTGCTTTACAAAGTTTGGTCTAGGAACGCTCCATTGGAACCTCTGCAGCCCCTAACAGCATTCTGGCTGGCCAATCACAGCTCTCTAGAGGGGTTTCAAACACATAAAGAGCTGTGATTGGTCCATAATGGTGGGCCAATCATAGTCCTCTATCTGCTTAGTGAACAAATCACAGAGCTTTATCCGCTTTGTGGGCCAATCAGGGCACTCTATATGCCTGGTAGGTGGGATGATGCAACAGAGTGAAACAAGATGGCGACAGCTCGTTTGAAACGGCTTTTACATCAATTTTGGACTAAGAACTTGGGCTTCATTAGAATCAGGAGCAGATAGATGTAGTTAAGTGCTTTTTTTTAGAAAAAAATTGTGTTTTCTCCTTCTTCAACTGTGGACCGCCTCATTTACCGATAGCTGATGCGGTGAGTATGTCACATTCATTGTCCAGTAGCATGCGGAGATCATTTGAATGACAACGGTAGAACCCGCCCCACAACCGAGAGCCGTCAATGGAGCGTTGCCAGACTAAATAATACATTTATTTAGTCTGGCTTGCCAGGCTAGTTGTGTGTGGCTGGGTTGCAGGACTTGGGGCCTGCAGCAGTAGATCACCAGGAGAGCAGAGAGCAGAACCTCTGGGTTTGTCACAATTAGCTATTGCTTTCAAACTGGTTTCCGTGGTTCTTGAGTCAGAAACTTGACCACCTTCATATTGGACAGCACCCTGCAGCCCTCTGCTGACCAGAAACTGCACTTTAACCTTTTTGTGGTTCAGGTTGGACAACTGGTGGGAGGTCTCTAGCTGCTTTATGGCAATAGCCATTTACTGTGCCTTTTACTAATATAAAGGCTAGCAGTTAGCTTTTTCAGTTCAAAACCTGAGCTTTGCCATAGAAGAAAGCGGAGTCAATGGTGTCTGTCCTCTCTCCTGATATCAGAAGACCTCCAACCATCAGGAAGGGAACCCTGCATGGACACAAACAGTCACTCGACTGTGTTTTCATTAAAGCTAATTAAATGGGGTTTTTTTTTTTTGGTAAGATGACCTACCCCCAACCCAAAATCATGAAGACTCCCGGTCGCAGTCGGAGCAGATCATTTCTGTTAGTCAGAGCCAGACAGAGAGGGATCAAACCTGAAAAGGACAAAACAAGCACTAAATCATAAACGTGTACAAATAAAATTATTGTTACATACCAGAGGTCGACCAATATTGGTCTTTCTATTCTCGATATCGATGCTGATATGTAGGAGATATGGTCAGCCAATGGCCGATTTGTACCGCTGATTTTTGAGGCCAATATCAAGACATTTTCCACCTTAAGCCTAATTTATAATCTCTGTCAGCTCCACGAGGGACAGACATGCACGCAGGGATGGAGACGTTTTGCTCTCATACTTCTCCGTCTCCTGGGGAGTGTTGCAAAGCAATTCCCCGCCAGGACAACAGAAAGTGTAGCGCTGTTCTGGGGTATCCTGTCATGTATCCGGCGTAAGATAGAGTGTTTATATTGTGATTTTTTGTACTTCAGAGACTTTTTAACACTGACAAATTTGTCTCTCATCCTCCTCCACCTCTCCATGCGCTCGCCACCTCTAAACCCATGTTTCCTGTCATTTCCGTCCACGAATAAAACGCTTACTGCATATTTTTTCACTCCTCCAGTTACGGGTGAATAAAACGTTAATATTTTTAGACTTTTTCCACGATGTACTCTTCAAGCTGCTCCGTGTCGGCCGCTAGATATCTTCGGCTCTCTTTATGCTTTTGAGGGCGCCGTGGCGGCGCTGTAGACGACAGCAGCGTCTTGACCAATCACAAGCTTGTGTTCTCCGTCTAGTTGGATGGATGTTTAGAAAAGTAATAATTTACCACCCGCTCAATTCACACTACCAGGTCCAACTGGATCAGCAGTGGGGAAAATTTGCTTTTTACAAAGACATGGTAAGTTGTTTCAAAAAGCTATTGTTTCACACCCATATGTCACATCATACTGGAATCGCTAGGTTCCGGATGTCAACTGGAAGGTAGTATGGATGATCCCCCATAATTATTTGTTAATAAATAAAGTAAAAGAAGTGATTTAAAATCCTTCATAAAATTGATCCTGCAAAGCACTACATTGTGAACTTTAAGAGAGATATTAATGTTAACCTCAGTTTTTGTGGAGGTAATCCAGAAACTGTTACTCATCTGTTTTGGCACTGTTCTTTCACACAAAGGTCTTGGAAGGAGTTCAGCAGGTTTATTACTCGGCGTATTTTTAAGGATTTCTCTATAAGATGGTAAAATGTGTTACTTTGCTTTTTTACCCCCCCCCCCCCCCCCCCCCCCCCCTGAGAAGGATGATAAGTCTTTCTTTGTAATGAACTTGTTACTTCTCTTGGCTAAATACCATATCTAGAAATGTAAATTAGCTAATAAGATGCCACATTTTCCATTTTTTCTTAAAGGTGTCTAATTTCTCAGTCCTCTAACAAAAAAGGCTCTCAAAACAGTTGATGGTTGTGGATTTTAAAATATATTTGTATGATTAATCCCCCTGGCTGAATGTTCTCTTAAATGTTATGTATACTTCATGTGTTCTCTTGGAAGTATACTTGCACTTTGTTAAATGAAGTAAAAAAAAAATAGAGAGAGAGAGAGCTTGACTCCATCTGTCCTAGCAAGCATGCCGGAGAGCCCTTGATAATGGCGTTGCGTGCGTCCGTCCCGACACAGACGGGGAAGTATGAATTAGGCTTTATTTTCGTGTCACGATTAACATCAGTTGATGCACAAAATATCTGAAGCTGAATCAAGTTTTGATTCTGTTAAATATTAACTTTGTGCACTGCTCAGTGTTAAAGTCAGACATCTAAATAAAGTTAATTTAGAGTATTTATTATGCAGATGTTAATAGTGAACGTACAAATACATGAATTCTGCAACAGCACCGAGCTGCCTGAGAACGTGCCTGACTTTAAATCGACTTTACTATTAGCCAATACCGATGTATTAAAAAAAAGGTAAATACCACTAACTACTGCAAAAAAAACAACTGTTTAATTCCTTTAAACACATACACATTTCCTTCTGAACACATACCCGTCCAAATGTACGTACTGTACAGAGACCCGTACAGCATTGTGAAGGTGAGGATTTTACTGAGGAGATTATCCTCTTGTTTACCCAAGACGTTCCACAAGATCATACTAGCACACACCAAGAGCTGTGGATGGAAGCACACACAGATCACATGATCAAAAACTAGCATCAGCAGAAATCACATGTTAACCACATAATATTCAACAAAAAAGGAGAGAAACTGACCTGAGCCAGGAACAGATTCAACACAAACAGGTGAGGAAGTTGGTTAAACTTCCTGCTGAGCAGCATCACTCCTATGGTCCACACCTGAGAGATGTGTAATCCGAGTTAATTTAATGTTTCTCAAAATTAATCTCAGCAATTTGACATTTTTACACTCTGAAACTGTTAGTTTGGTATGAACTTAGGAAAACGTCTTGCTTTTTTGAAAATTAGCTTCCGTTGTGATGAAGGTTTGAAACCAGATCATTAAAAGCATTAACGTTTTAAAGCTCTAAAAGCACTCACCAGTCCTATGAGGCTGATGATGCTAATGTTGAAGCTAACATTTTCAAGCTCAGTCACGAGAGGGGTAGGGTCCATTAGTGGGATGGTCAGCAGCCAGGCTGACACGTACATAATCGGTGCAGAGAGGAACGTGCTGATCACCATTCCTGATGTTACCTGAAGAAAAACAAAAATGTTTCAGAATCATGAGTTCAATGGGAAGATTTAAAGATGATGTACAAAAAGGAGATGGCAGTGTTCCTGTTATTCTAAAGCTGGTCTCTTCACCATAACCTCATCACAAAAGTCTTGAGTTTTCTCTGGAGACAGCTCACCAGCAGTCATTCACAACTAGGGCTGGGCAATATGGCCTAAAATCAATATCACGATATATTGAGGATTTCACCTCGATAACAATTAAAGGACGATAACTACAGGTATGCGCAAAAACAAAAATTGACCACTAGATGGGGCTGTCATGTAGGGCTGGGCATATGGCCTCAGATCTATATTGCAATATAAATTGAAGCATGTGCGATTACGATTTATATTGCGATATATTTTTTCCTATGTTTATATGTCAAAATGACATGCTTTAAAAAAATCCTCATATGGAAAATATATTGCATCAGAATAAAGACGTCCAAAAAGTGTAGAATGCTCCTCCTCCTCCTGCTACATGCTTGCAGTCACTGTCATTCTGTTGTTCCAATGTCGGCGCGGGTGCACATCTTAGTGACATCATGTGTTATCGCGATATCGCGGTAGCCAAAAACTTATCATTACCCAATTTTATATCATTTCTACCTTATATCGTTTATATTGCCCACCCCTACTGTTGTGTATTACACTGAGTCACACTGTCATATGATTTCAGGTGGCACAGCTTCTCAAAGTGACTTGAATGCCGCCAACCTCTGCACATCTTTCCATTTTTTAATTATCAGATTTATTGACATGGGAAAAACAATATCGATTAGTCGGAAATTTTGATAACGATACTTTTTTCGATAAATCACCCAGACCTATTCACAATCCAGTGAAGTTCTGTCTTAAATAAAATTCAACTCAACTATTTAAGAAGAAAAATGTGACAGAAAGGCCTTCAAGCATGACGGAAGGTCTCACGGGGTGATGAACCAGAGAACCGAAAACTACCAGAAAATGCAAATCTTCTTTGTATGTGTGTGTGTGTGTGTCATGTGAGCAGCTCAACAGATGGGACATTCTTTGAAATGCTTAGAGATTTTTTTTCTGTTTAAAACTTACCACTTCTAACTCCATGTTATAGTGTCCAGCATAGATAGCCACACTAGGCGCTGTTGGGAAAACTCCATAGAGAAAAGCGAAGTTGGATAAACTTGTGTGGTTGGCGCTGGTGCCGTTTACTCCGATGTCCAGAATATCCACCATGTCTTTACAGACCAGCGGCATCACCAAGCTGAAGAGACCAAACGAGTCCAGACTCTAGCTGTATTAGTTTCCTCTGTAATGACAGGAAGTGCGAACTGAGTACTTACAGCTTGGCTGTGATGAGGAGTATCAAGGCGACTCCAGTGTCTCTGGTTAGCTTTCTAAGCTGACCCACCTGAAAAACAAGACAGCTCATTTCACATACGTGTGATCCTTTTGTGTTTCAAACATAAAAAGCTAAAGCTTATATCTCACCATGGTGAGGCCAAGGTAAAATAACGCTGCTCCTCCGAAAGAGTTGGCCAGACCGTCGATAAACTCCGTTAGCACAACAGGAATCTGGCTGCTCAGTGCAAAGTGAGAGATGATTCCCACGATCACCATGAACACTACTGGGTTCTTCAGAACCTTTAAAGTAACAAGAGATCTTTTTTTATTATTATTTTAGAAAGACAATGTGTAATTTTTACCATTAAACTCTGGAAATATCCACCAAAATATGGTTGATCATTAATTAAATGATGCCCAGTTGTTGAAAAATATTGGCGGCTTCATAACGTATAACCATACATGGGAGTGGGTCTAAGTCTCTGGGTGACGCCATGTTTCCTTCTACGTGAGCCCGTGAGGACAAAAACACATCTACTGATATGTTAGAAATATTTTATCTCTCTTACACGCACATTTACCATTTCACTCGTTACCAGTGGTGAAAGGGAGTGTGATGTGACTGTCATTTTGCTGGAGGTTGAACGATCTGAAGTACTTGTTCAAACATTGTGCTCCCCATTACTTTTGACCAGGGGTATGGACTTGAGTCACATGACTTGGACTCATGTCAGACTTGAGTCATTATTTTAGTGACTTCTGACTTGACTTGATAAAATCTATAAAGATTTACAACTTGATTCGGACTTGAATGCCAATGACTTGCGACTTGAATCGACTTGCATCTATTGACTTGATGATGACTCCAGCGTATTTGATATTGTAGCACAAAATTGGCATGTATGGACAGAAATCATTCTTCGTTCTGAGCTTGATTGTGTACTGCTAAATGCAGCAGCAAAACTCTCAGTTGCACTTTCTGCTTATTTGAGCAAACAAATGAAGCTTTACGAAGCTTTATTTCTGGACTTTATTTATTATCATCGTCATCAAATTGAAGTTGGACAGATGACTTGATTATGACTTGAAAATTCAAAGTTAAGGACTTGGACTTCCACATTACTGACTTTGGACTGGACTTGGACTTAGTTGTCTTTGACTTGGGACTTGACTGGAAAGACTTGTGACTTACAAAGCAGTGACTTGTTCACGCCTCTGTTTTTGACCCTAAAGGCCATCCATATAACTTGCTTACAATGATTTAGGTAAGTACTGCCCCCTATCAACAGGGAAAATGCACACCGTTAAATCCTTAATTTCAATTTAATTCAGTTCATTTATATAGAACCAAATCACGAGAAAAGTCATCTCAAGGCACTTCACTAAGTAAATATTCCGATACGGTTCAGTTTATTAAACCAATCAGTGAAAAGTTTCTTGAATAAGGAACCCAGCAAATTGCATCAAGTCACTGATCGGTGTCTTTACAGCAATCCTTATACTGAGCAAGCATGTAGCAACAGTGCAGAAGAAAACTCACTTTTAATATATATCTCAGTTATTGAGTTAGAAACTTGACTAGTTTTCGTATTTGACACCACTCTACAGCCATCCAAGACCGCACTTGATAGGTAGGGGGTACCGGCTTTTAGCTATAATGCTAGCAGTTAGCATTTTCAATTCACTGATCATCATTAAAAGCATAAGAATAAGAAAAGAAGAAGTTTGCTTTTTCTGTTTATATTCTGGTGGGGCCTGGAAGTAAAAGTAAGAGAGTAATGTCTTAGGAGGCGAAGCAAAGAGCTAAAACCAGAGAGAGCATTAGTATGGCCACACTAGTTTGAGGGAGCTAATGGATGCTACAAAATCAGATTGATGGTGACCTGGCTTTGTTGCTACTGGATATGCAAGTAATAAAATTAGTGTCCAACAGTGTGGATCCTTTTAACTTCATGGTTTATTTTAGTATTAGTTAGTTCAAGCTCCTGTTAGCTTGTTGTTAGCACTAGCTACAGCAGGCTGAAGCGGGGTTGTTTACGAGCGTTGTAATTCCACTTTCAACCAGTAGGGTGGAGGAGCAGGACATTGTTGTGTTAATTTAAAGGACACAATAACAATTAGAAGGAGAATAAAATTTTAACTCCTGCTTCAATGACACACTTGAATGTACCTGTAGGACTACAACTCCCAGGATGCTGAGAGTGCTGCGTTGAGGATGGCTGGCCTGCCTCCACCTTTGCACCTCACAAAGAGCAAAGCCGATGGGATTGAGAAGCATGAGAGAAACGGGAGCGACCAGGTATATGTACTGGAGGTATTCTGGATATGTGCTTCGATACAAAGCATCAACTGCAAGAGATGGAGAGACTTTAATTTTTCTTAAACTACCATAAAAAAATAAAACAATGTCATGCCTGTTTTACCTATGGGGTATCCCAAAGCAAAGTCGTTACTCTGAGTAGCAAATATTGCATACAGTCCAGCCTTGCTGTATCTACTGTCTGGGCTGGCCACCATCAGCGTCAGCACACAAACCAGCACAAACACCACAACCTTCAAACAACATGAGATCATTGATACTTTTCCTCTGATGCAACACAGAAAATGCATATTTTGTTTAAATGTGATGTTTCAGGTACTAACCTTTGCGACAAGAACGCTCCAGAGAAACGCCCAAATGACATTCCCAAAATCCAACAGCACCATGTTTTTAAAAAGCAGAGCTGGAAGAGCAAATTTGGAGACAAAGTTCCCTAAACCCTTTGCCTGACTCTCAGTGACGATATCAGCCCTGAGGGTGGGAATGACACAGTCAGGGTAACATAGAGGTTAAGTCCAGTCACATGCTTGTGTCACTGATTTGCACACACCTACCTGCCAGCTACATAACCACAGAGTATGATGCCAAAGCACTCAAGAAGAGCTGGCAACAGTTTGTCTAAGGACATGTGGGGCCCCGCACCATAGGTCAGGGTGTTATGCGAGATGTTCTTTCCATGGATCAGCACATAGTTGTTGGCCGTTTCCATGGTGACTATGGGATGAGGTGGGTCAGGTGATGGTCACTGGGGAAACAATCAGACATAGAACGTACATTAAAATAGTAACAACTCAGAGCGAGAAGCAGAGATCAGAAGTGTTGATGAAATATTTTTTAAGTAAAATGAGAACGGAGAGAGGTCCTCAGAATTTCTAGCTACGCATCTGTTAGGCTATAAAGGTGACGCTGAGGTGGTCTTATTTTTATCCGAATACACACCCTTATAATCCCGTAAATACATCGTAAAATACAAACTGTAAGGTCACGTCAACAAAGCCCACCTCTTCATCACAGCACCGAGTACCAGGTGCTTGTTAGCGCTAAAATACCGTCATGCTAAAAACAAATCAGGGCGCGGTAAGCAGCCGTGCCCTTCAAGTATGACCTACTGATGCTATTTTGCATTATTCGTTAAACGGGTACAATCCTTACCTTTATCTCAGGGGGCCAGAGTCGACCAGAAATTCACAATTCACCAGTCTAGCTTGTTTTCCAGGATCCAGTTTTAGCCGTTTGCCATCTGACAGCTGCAGCAAGTGGAGACGCCCCGAGTAAACACTGGCAGGCGTTTCAGCCAATCAACATCGAGAACGGCTTCCCAAAGGCTTCCGTGATTGGATCAGCCAAGTGTAACGTATTTCTGAGCGAACAATTAAATGGTCATGAAACTTCAATATTTTTCATTCACTAATACTTTTAACTTCATTGCAGGTTACAAAACATTTTACTCAAATTTGAACTCAGCCTGGTGTAATAATGCCTCAAAAGCAAATATAATCAGTTCATATTTGCTTTTGCCTGGGAAAGAAACTGAATTTACCGGTGGAATCCTAATCCTTCACCACGCAGTCATCACATCTCTTTAAAAAATCCAATCCTCTGAAATACCATTCCGATTACATGATGAAAATAACTGATGTGATGCCTAAATATATTTAATTGCAAAATAAAGACCGACTAGTGCAAGTTACACATCAATTACCCAAATAATATTTAATAGACAGTTATTTTTAGTCGTTTTTATTGCACCAATATGTAACTGTTCATATGGTTTATGTGATATTACAAAAGTCATTTCCTATTTGATGACCTTACAATTCACTGTGTCCTTATAAAAAGTCATTTGTTCAGGAACATTGATGTATCGTACAATAAAAGCCCTTTATCATAAATCATTTTACGTAAATAGTTTCTCTGTATGATTGTCTTCCACAAAATGTTAGACAATATAATGCAAGGGGGAAAAACACATTCAAAGCAAACATAATACTGCAACATTATGTATCCTTCAGTATCACTTGATTAAATCATACAGATACTTACACAGGCCCTTTATTCTAAATCGAGAGCTTAAGAACAAAAACAAAAAAATACAGCTCAGTTGCACACTCATGCAGCAATATTCCTCAAACATCTCCTTTAAGAGATCTTAAACCATGATCATTTACATGCTTCCCCACAAAAAAGTAAAAAACGTACCATTCAGTGATTCCACAGAAACTATTGAAAGTCTACATTCACGCTGCAGAGGCACATGTGGCTTCAGCTAAGTAAACACCAACATTTCCCTGATGTTTCAAGCAGCTGAGAATCAGCCAATAGTTTGGTTCAAAGTCTTTGTTCTGTAGCTGTACTTAAGGCACTTTGTTGCTTTATTAATTTATGCATCACCGTCTTTTGAGTGAGCCAAACAGGAAGATGATTAAAGTTTTAATAAATGACAGATTAATTTTAAATGTTCTCTGTGAATATTCGTCACAGCTGTAAGTGATGTGATATTTAGAAAAATTTTATAACCGTTTACTCAGTTTAGCAATGAATAAAAAAAAGTGGCAAACAACTGAATGTGCATCATAAAACCTCCTGATGAAAGATCTAGGACACCCACATGAATTCTCCTGGAGGAGAATGGTTGTAAATAGAAATAGAAATGTATTATATTCCAGAGCACATTAAAAAAGGAACAATCTGTCGCTGCATCATGATATAAAGCCAAATTTGTGAATCTGTGCTTTTATTTAGATGACTGCACTCAGTTCCATTGTCAACGTTGCAGTCTCGGCATCATCGACGCTGAACGTGAAGGACGATGGGCGTAACAGAATAAAAATAAAAACAAAATGGAAGCATGAGAGGAAACGTGGTGGGTCCATAGGTTGTGATGACTTCTTCACCTGGGTATAGGAGGAAGAGGAGGGGCTCCTCTCTCCTTTTTACCAGGACCTGAAAAAGAAAAACAAGCCAAATGAGTCATTCAGATGGGATATATTTTCATCCACTAGGTGGCACTGTGGTAAAACAGAATAATTGCCTCAGTTTTTTTTTTTTTTTTTTTTTTTGTTTTTTTAGATGTGCATGAATTGCAGACACTTTTTCATATCAATGAGCAGGAAAGTTTGGATGAGAACTGAAAACTGCTGTATTGTTAGTTCCTATTTTAGAGTGAGATAATATATATTTGTGCATGACTCACCTTTGCTGTCTGTCTTGGCCATCTTGCTGGGGTAAGTCTTCTGGAAGGGCGTGTATGGCTCAGGAGGAGGAAGGTCCGACACCGGGTGAAAAATGAACCGATACTCCCACTCATCTATCCGAGGAAAGACACCACGGTTAAAGTGGTTTTGTCACCATCGGACTGACTAATCTCACAGGATGTGACAGAATATAAATGAAGGTACATGCAGAAGTACAGGAAGTTAGATCAAAAACGGTCTGTTTTTCCTGTCACTTCCTGTCCTTGCTGCCTTCCAAACTAAACTTACATCCTTGCTTGAGAGGACAAAACAACAGGAATGGAGGTCGGTGGGTTTTTCTGACTTAGCTGAGCCATGTGGTAAAAACAACACCGAGGTATCTTCAGCAGACAATCAGAGTACAGTCTGAAAAAGGCACTGAGCTAGCCTCCCACGCATGGATAAACAATCAGCTAATAGTCATTAGTAGCATATCTTTTTTTAACCTTTCAGTCCTGACCAGTGATGAGGATGAACGGCGTTACTAAAAAAATGTTTTTTTCAGTAATGAGTAATCTAATTATGTCTTCTTTAATCATAATGCGGTTTCCGTTACTGATAAGAAAATGTGTGCATTGCTAATTCAGCAGCGTGGAGTGTTGAAGCGGTCATCAGCTGATATGGGACTAAAGAGATGGATGTTTTTGTCCAAGAGCATCACGGCCCGTGAAGAACGAGGAAGACGTGATGAAGTCTACAGCTGCAGACCCGCAGATTCGCTGCTGCAGGCGTGAGTCTGCAGCTGTGCCCTTCTTGGCGTGACAGCAGGATGTCCTGAAGGTCCGCTCACCTGTTCGCTGCTCAGACATCACGATCTACTACCTTCCTAGATCATCCAGCTGTGACCTGTTCCTGATCAGTTCTTTAGTCCCGCTGTAACACTGATGCATCAGTCTCAGACGTCATGGAGCTCAGGTGTTATTAGAACTACTCGTGTGTTTTTACCAGCCAGCTTCAGCTCTTCTGTGTTTGGGTCTGACCCAAGTTAGTAAATTTAAGTCCTCCATCAGATTTGTGCCTCTTTTAATGTCATTTTAAAGGATTTTATTTGTTTATTTAACCGTTACTAGATTACCAGCAACAGAAATGCTACTAAAACACACAATTATGTAAAGCTGGAAAAATTTGAATACTGTGCAAAATTACATTTATTTCAGTAATTTAACTAGACCGAGAGACCATTTAAAGGCTCAGGAACCTTTACAGGTGTTTCTATTTGAAATTATAAATTTTAGCTGATTAGTGTATTGTTAAATATCACACAGTGACATTTAAATAGTCTAGATTTGTGTAATGTTCCTGTTTGTAGTTACTCATGTTAAGTGCCCATTTATTTCAATTATTCAGTTTTATAGAAAAAACATTTGGACAAACATTTTATTACGTTCCAGTCATTAGTCGTTTATATTTCAGTATTGTAGTAATTTATTGTACATTAGGTAAGTTTAAGAGGGGAACCCATTTTTCTTGCATTCTTAAATGGAAAAAAGTTACAAAATAGTTATTTTTCTTGGTAATTAGTTACTTTTATAATCTTGTAACTCGGTAAGTAACGGAGTTACTTTTTTGACAAAATAATCAGTAACTATAACCAATGACTTTTCTGAAGTTACGTTCTCAACACTGCTCCTGACTAAAACCCGGTTCACACTGAGCATTTTTCACCTGTTGCAAATAGACTAGAATAGACTTTATTGATCCCACAGTGGGGAAATCCAATTGTTACAGCAGCACCAACACTTAAGAGAAAGGGCATTCCATGCCACTGTGAGGACTCTAGAGAGGTGGCACACTGTACAGCTCAAGATTTCAGTGAGCTAAACTTCACGAAGTCTTGCTCTAGCAGGACAAGCTAACGTCATGAGTGCACTTGACCAAACGCGTACAAGAAAACAGTGCCACCATTAACACTTCTATTATTAGACTCTGAACCGAACCCAAGAGAGGAGTGGGCCACATGTTCTTGCTTGTAGCCTCTACTGTTGCTAATGCTACTCTTGCATTGCTTTGGCGCTCGATTTTTGAGTCACTCTTTGGAAGTTTTTTCGTCGGTCGACGGCAGACCAGAGTCATGGGGTTTCTGACCCTGCTTAAAGACCAATGGAGGCTGAATTTGATCGCTGGGCTGGCCACAGAGCTGCAAATCACCTCATGTTCACCATTTTTTATCATGACTCTGTTCACAAGAGATTTGTCTAGGATGGCTGAAACAAGCACAAGTAACCTGAGCTTAAAGAAACAGTTTGCTAAATTCCTCTGGTACCTTGTGTTTGGTTGTGGTGAGAGTTTTGGAAACCGTTCCCCATGGGTGCTGAAGGAGGTGGAGGACCTCCCGTCCCTGGCCTGTCTGGAGGCAGGGGAGGTCTACCACCAGGCCCACCACGAGAAGGCTCTGGGCCTGGTCGACCAACAGGAGAAGGTGCTGTTGATGACCTGATGCTGCCGCCGCCCATATTACGGCCTGACGGGGGTGGAGGAGGAAGAGGGCCTTTGGGGGAGGGAGAGATATTTATTAGTGTTTTTATGGTACTGAACATAGTTAAAATAGCTTCCTGTATATGTTTTACTGCTTATATACTAAATGAATCCATCATCGATAGAATCAGTCAGGACCAGTTACCTGTGCGCTGAGATGACTGGCTTCTCCCAAAAGCTGGTGGTCTCTCATTTGGTGGTGGAGGGAGAGGTCCAGACCGACCAGGCGGAGGTGCTGGAGCATGGCTGGGGGAGATACTGTATATTTATGGAACTTTAGTTAATAACAAAGAAATCATAGAAAGAAAAACTGACAGTGTTTTATATTTATAACATAATCAAGAAAGCGACGATTTAATTTACAGAGCGTAGATGACATGCATGACGTGTTTACCAGTACCTATTGAGCGAGCTGTTTCTTTGTGGTAGACGGGGAGTGTTCGGATCCTCCCCTCCACCTGGGCTGGGTGGGATAGGAGGAGGGCCTGGTCGTCCAGGTGGGAGAGGAGGCACGCCCCCACCTGCTGAGGAGCGACTGGATGAGGAGGGTGAAGGTTTCGAGTTGAAAGACGGGGGTGGAGGGGGCATGTCACGGGGCATCGATGGTCGATGACCCCCCGATGGAGCTGGGGGTGGAGGCGGTCGGTCGTCGGGAAGTGGAGGCCTCCCTCCTGGAGCAGGAGGTAAAGGGGGTCTGCTGTTGTTTGGAGGTGGAGGAGGGGGAGCAGAGAAGCTTGACCGGGACCCAGCAGAACAGCCAACTGGTGGGGGAGGGAGAGCACCGTGTCTCCCTGGGGGAACATTGGGTGGTGGAGGTGCACAGGCAGGGCTTGGTCTGGGTCCTGAGGGGAGTGACGGTGGAGGCGGGCCTGCTCGAGACTGGAAGTTCTGGGGAGGTCTTGGTGTGTTGGGTACAGGAGGAGGGAGTCCTCCGGTTGTGTCTTGTCTGGTTGGGAAATTAGCACGACCCTTAGGAAGTTCGGGGGCGCCACCCCGAGGAGCAGCAGGGCCACCTGGGAGTTTAGGTGGTCCAGTGGGACTGCCTCCTCCAAAAGAGCTGGACCCACCAGAACGGGCTCCTGGTGGGAGAACAGGTCCTTGACTGGGAGCAGAGTCTGGGAAAAAAATAAAATGTAATAAAAAATTTTAGGGGAATTTTTCAGATAAAATTTTTGAAAAACTTAATTTGTATCATTAATTTTATTTTACCACCGTCTCTGCTTGCTGCCGACCTCAACTTTGGCATCCCTCCAGCAAACAGGCCTCCTAAACCAGCAGGAGACCCACCACCAAAACCACCTCCTCCTCCACCACCACCACCTCCTCCACCTCCTCCTCCTCCACCACCTCCTTTTGGCTCTGAAAGAAAACTAAATTAAAAATAATAATCTGGACATTGGCCGTTTCTCAATACTCGAGGACACTAGTACATTCTTGTGTACTAGACAAGTACGTTCTCAGCAAGGGCACCGGAAAGTACAATCTACCGAGTACGGAAGAACGAGGACAGCATTTGCAACAAGCGCTGCTTTTTTCTAGCTACAGTTAAAACAACCGGACATAAAAATAAAATATCTAGTTATTTTATTAAATAACAATGAAAACATAATATTTGTATTATATTAGGTCCACTTTGATCAAAACTGATAAAATACCAGTATCTTCCACTGTTAAATGAATAAAAAAATTTCATTTTCATCAAAACGGAGCTACGCTGCTTTTATTTTGATAGTGGCTTAGCTAATTAGCATTTTGAGGGATCATGACAAGCAAAACCCAAATGCAAACAGCAAATTTTACAGGTTACACGCAATTATTTACAATAACAAACAGCGTAACATTTCTTTATTAGTATTTCTGATATAAAACACTAGTTATTAGATTTCTCCTCTGATATTTGGAGTATAACAGTTTGTGACGCAATGCATCATGGGATACTTTCCTGTCCCAAGTCAGCTGAAGGATGCATCCTTGATACAACTGGTGTAGCAAGAACAAATCCGGTAACTTTGAGTGAACTTGCCATGATGCATACTTAGGATTGGAACAGTACTTGGGCCATCGTTGATGACGTTTACCCAGGACGCATGTACACAAGTTCTGAAGAGTATGCATATTGAGAAACGGCCATTCTCTGAACTATCAATGCACAGCTATACCACATTTCATCCACATTAAGGCCTGGACCAATAACATTCTTTGGTCTACTCAACAACTAGACACAAGTTGAACAAATCCTGACTTACTTTCCAAAGAGGGCCCACTGCGGTCATTTGTAACGGTTTTCTTTAGTCTAGAGCCTTTACAAATATCAGACAAAAGAGCATTCCTTCCCTGCTGCTCGTTACGATTGAGTGTCGGTTTCTCCGTGTTTGCCTGAAAGATGACAAGACAAACAAGAAAAATACAACTTTGGCAGATGCTTCATTACTATAGTTTGCAAAGTTAAAGCCAGACTGGGATTTAGTTTCAGGCCGTCTGACTTTGGAGAAAGACTGGATGTAGACGGACAGAATGACTTACTTGAGAGAAGGTGGGAGGAGGGGGAGGCCCTGGGGGTGGTGGGGGAGGCGGGGCTGGCATCTTCCGCTCTTCGTTTCACTCTATCGTCACTGGCTGACGTACCCTGAAGGAAAAACCACACACATATTGTACTAAATAAAAGTGGGGTTTTAGATTCTCCCCAAACTGGAGGTTAGGGTTCCACAGTGCTGCTGGGCAACAAAAACTAATTCAGTGTGCTGGAGGGACTGGGCCATTCCAGACGGTTGGTATAGGAGGACTCAGTTATAGGCATCTTACTTTGGAGCTCTCTGGTACAAAATCCCCCCAAAAACCAGAGTGACACAATTTGTGAATGTAGCAAGTAAATATCCTAAGTATTTAGTATTTGTTTTCCATCCACCGCAACAAGATTTTATAAAACAACTCTGCGATTCCCAGGGTGCCCTTTACTGACACGTCTTGGTACTTTGTGCTATAAAAGCACCTTTCTATCTGTACCTGTTATTAAGTACATCCAATTCACAATAACATCTTACAGCTTAAAAACATTGCCATGTTGCACTCTTTGTTCTCCGGATCTGACTTTGAAATGATGATCCATGAGTTTATTGCTTTATGTTTGGACAACTGCGGTAGTCTTTTTACGTGTGTAAGTCCGTAAAGACATGGTACGCCTACAGATGATGCAAAGCTGCTGCCCAGCTCATTCCTCAGACCAGTAGAAGATCCCACATCACGCCGGTACTTTAGGTTCAGGGTAAACTTTATGATCCTTGTCCTTGCATTTAAGGCCTTGCATGGACTAGAACCAGAGTATGTTGAAGACCTTCTCATTTGGTATTAACCCTCTTGTCTCCTGAGCTCTACAAACCTTCACCTTCTGGTTATCCCTTGTTCTTAATTTAAGAGAGGGGACCACGCTTCCCAGGTCGTCAATCCTGCTTTCAAACGCACTTCCTTGGTGAAGGATTTCATGAAAGGACTGAAAACTTGTTTTTATAGGGTTTTGGTTAGCCTCTCGTTTCCGTTTTTACTGTTTCAGCTGTTTTAACGACTTTTCAACTTTGAGGATTTATTGTGTTTTTATTGATTATATGCTGTTGTGGTATAGTAGTTAGATGAATGTGTACGCGTGGTGCAAGACGATGGTGCCATAATAAAGTCCAAAAATAAACAAAGATTAATCCAAACTTGGTAGCTGAAAGTTCCAGTGGGATATGCCAATCCATTTATTGCCACAGACACTTGAAATACTGATAAAACAGTAGATTATTGATATACGGATAAAACAGTAGATTATTGATACAAACAGGAAAAAAAAAACGTGTGCCTGTGCACCACACCTGCACACTGATTGTTCACCCTTTAACCTTTTTTCTCTCCCTAGAGCTACTCTGAGCTCCCTCTATAGGAAATGGCTCCACCATATGTTGTTTTACCTCTGGTCTTCTATTGTTGGTACGGTACCCTTATGTGAAGCGATCTGTAAATTTATTTTCTGTGAAGGGTGGTATATAAATAAAGGTCAACTTTGGCTGAATTTATGAAGAACAAGACCTGATAAAGTCTGAGTCAAACTGCTGCATTCATTTGCCTGAACCGCTTCAGTTTTCATAAGTAAAAATAGCTTTCGGTCACAAGTTAATTTCCTTCCCTTAAATATGTTTGGATGCCACATTTAGGAAGGTGTTGAGATGAGGTGAGACTGGCACAAACCACAGCTCATATGTCGGCTTTTCATTTAAATGCAAAAATCCAAATAATAATGAAGACACTGAATATGGTGGGATAATTTTCTGGTAATTAGTTCAAAGTAGTTCACATTAAGGTCACACTTGAGCGATAACTCCCTATTCCTAAAACCCTAAACTAACAGAATAGATCTGTTCTTGTTAGGAAACCAATATTAAAAAAAGCTAAATATGGAATGCTAAGAAATTTAAGACAAACTGTCTTTTTCTTTAAAGAGGTTTTTCTGCCAGTAGAAAGTATGTTCCTGAGAAAAAGTCATAAATATTTACCATCATATAGATTGTGGATAGCTTCCAGAATGGACTTTGTTTAGCGAAACAGTTTACATCCATTAATTAATTTATGGCTAATCCAAGTGCAGCTAGGACCAAAGTGGGTTGCTGCTAATGCTGCAAGATTCAAGCAAATCATCATGTTGCAATATTTATTTTTGGCTATTTCAATGACAGTTCATGTTGCAATTAACCCACCCTTTTTCTGGTCACTTTAAAATCACATGATCGATTTATGATCCCGTTATCGGATCAGAGCTTCTCTAATATTTATGATATTGTGTACAGCCTTAACTGTAAACTTCACTGAAAAAACATTTTTAATAATTATTTCTGATTACAATCACTGCGTTTTTCGTGCAGTCTGAACATGATTACGTTCATCTCCTGCATTAGCTTCTGAAAGAAAATAGATGGTGAAACTCTAGGATCTGAAAAGTTTGGCAGATCTACGTCACACTGTTACTTAAAGGTATGGCAGAGGACGTTTCATGAAAGAATAGCCCTCTCCACGTTTCGGACAAAATTTGCATGAGAAAGAATGCCCAGTTATCCTCATGCCTGCTCTGTTTACAATTAGCTGCCGGCCTTGCAGCAAATCTTCTCTAGCAGTATCTGAAATGAATTTCTCCAAATAGCACGCCGAAATTTTGCTTACTTGTCGAGTAGTAAAACGGGGACAGAGGCATCTTTGAAGAGCCCAACCTTTGCGTTGCGCTTGCACAAGAAGCGAAAAGTACCCAGCAATGAGGACGTACGACAACGGCCTTGTGTGAATGATTCACAGTTATGCAGACCAATGGTTCAGATGATCCACCTGGAAGAAAAAGTTTCTCTGCTTCACCTTTAACATTCATGGACTCACCCATCTTGACTCGCAACGGGGAAGACCGTTGTTGGTTTAGCATCCAGGAAACAGCAGAGAACATCTCAACTAGTAGAAGCTAACCATCAGCATTAGAAACTCCACCACACAGCAGAACCTCTTCAGGTTGTGTTATTGTAGAGATAAAACAATGTTACAAAGCTATCAGCGAGTGGTAGTCACACTGCTGTTAGCCAATCAGAGGGGAGATATCCAATTATCAGGAAATAACTTGCAGCAGAGTGCGAAACAGCTAGGATGAGAATCATCTCCTCTAAATCCGAGACCATGGTCTTGAATTGAAAAAGAGTAGAACGCTTTCTACGGGTCAGGTCCTGCCCCAAGTGGAGGAGTTCAGTATCTCAGGGTCTTGTTCACAAGTGAGGGAAAGATGGAGCATGAGATCAACAGGAGGATTGGAGCTGCGTCTGCAGTGATGCAGGTGTTGTACCGATCTGTTGTGGTGAAGAGCTGAGCTGGAAGACAAATCTCTTGATTCATCGGTCGATCTACGTTCCAACCCTCACCTATGGTCATGAGCTTTGGGTAGTGACCGAAAGAACAAGATCGTGGATACAAGCGGTCGGAATTATTTTTATCTGCAGTGTGGCTGGGCTCTCCCTTTGAGATAGGGTGAGAAGCTTGGTCATCCAGAAGGGGATTCGAGTAGATCCACTGCTCCTCCACGTCGAGAGGAGCCAGTTGAGGTGGCTTGAGCATCTAGTTAGGATGCCTCCTGGATGCCCCGCTGGTGAGGTTTTCCAGGCACGTCCAACAGAGAGACCTAAAGAAGACCCAGGACACACTAGTGGGTGTCCTGGGTCACCAGTATTATTACCTATTAATTCCCTTTTTAAACTTCAATAACACTCAGCAGCCCTATGAAGTTATCCTAAGGATTAATACTTTTTGAAAACACTCGACTCTTTGTGGTCTTGCACAGAACCAGCATTGTGAAAACATTAATGAGAACAATGCAACAATAAACATTTCTGCTCTAACTCATCGCCTCATCACTTGTGATGAAACACTGGGTAGTCTAAAAATATAAACCAGTGAAATCTGCCCCGTGCATTATTTAACCTGCTATTAATAACATAAAGAATTATATAACAGTACATTTTTGACTCTGACTAACACATGCTGACACCAAAGACGCTCTGGTGTACCTCACGCAAATACTCACACAAATCTGCCTCACTCTTCAGTTCATCCTCGAGGGGCCTTTTACTTCCTTTATGCTGCGACAAACAGGAAGTCACCACGCAGCTCCAGCACCGCAGCCATCCGGTTGCCAGAATGATGATGATGGCTACATTGCAGCTATGCATCAATAAACATGCACTCATGGGCTTTCTCGCTCTGCGTCACCCCTGCTGTTTTGGCTTGTTTACCACCTTTCTCTCTTCCTCGTTAGACAAAATGATGACATTTCAAAACTGTTTTCTAATCTTCTGTCTTTTTTAAAACATTTCTTGAAAATCTAAAGTCATCCTTGCTGCACAGTTTGTCATCTTTACCAACTTCCTTAAAACACAATTAAGATCAACTTCTACTACTCAACCCACATAATGCACAAAAGAAGCCCTAAACTTATAAGAAATCTAAGTATTAGTTCTTGCTTTTGTTCAACATGTTTTTGTCAGCTACAGGGAAGGACCTTTTTACACATAATCCCTGAAAAAAAAAATACATTCCTAATTCCAAAAATTAAGTTCAAACGTAACCTGGAGAGATTTCCACTCCATCCAGGGTCACCTAGAGACAAACTACTTGCACACACTTACACTTACTACCTTTTTATCGACCAATCAACCTAACATGTATGGTGTTGGTCTGCAGAAGGAAATGGGGTTGCCCGGAGTAATCCCACACATGAACTGGGAGTGCAAGCCAACACCACACAGAACCAACACAGCTGGATGAACTTGCAACCTTGCTGCTTAAAGAAAACTATGCTACTAAGTGCCCCACCATGCAGCTTCTGATTGCAATGGCATTGCTGAACATAGTGTCAAAATCATCAACCGTACTTTTTCCTGACTCATCTAGTAGCCTGAATCTTCTACAGCAGGTGTGAACATCAAGGGCATCCATCAAAATAGGCAAATATAATATTTACATGCAGAATGTGAATGAACTTGAAATGTAAAAGCATTTTTCATTGTATTAAAGTGGCAGTGTGTCCTGCCACTAGGGGACAGTACATACATACATTTCAGGGTAGCTTTGCACCATATCGCTGTGACTGTCACTAGTTTAAAAAACATTATGGTAAATGTTACCTGTGGAGCAGAAAACATGTGACCTCACCATGACTACTCAGACTTTGATGGTCCTTAAGTTAATAACATCAAGAGAATACAATGCAGGTTGTAGTTTTCTGCTGCTGTACTTTCTGGATCTGCTCAGGGTCCTGCGTCTTTTTCGATTCTGTTCTTTCACATATGTTTTGGAAAGGATTTAGCAATTTTGTTATTAAATTCATGTTTCTTACGGCCTAAATGTTTTTGAATGTGGTAACATAACTTCCGTAAGTCATCTAGTGTGACATCATCGACAGGCGCAGGACCCCGAATTGGCCATAAGGAAACACGGTGTCTAATGTGGCATCCCCCAAAGACTGTAATCCCGCACTCTTTGTATTCTAGACCCAGTTTTTATGGTTATATGTTACAAAGCTGCCAATATTTTTCAACGACCGGACATAATTTAATTGACTTTCAGCAACATTTCGATGGATATTTCCATAGATTAAAAGGTAAAAATACACATGGTCACTTTTAAAATGTTCATTGTAGTAAAATGAATGCAGCATTAGTAACTAACATTATTGCACAGATTTACAAAATCAGCTAACTTTTTGATTATTTTGGATATTAACTATTAACATTTGTATCAGTTTAAAATGAGGGCTGAGTGTTGGTAAAATGTATTTCCTGGATTACATATCAACTCAGGCCTTTGGAGGTTGTTTCCTCTTCCTGTCGGTGTGGTTTTTCTACTCAACTGTTAAACAACATTTTGGATAAGGAGCTTGGGAATTTCAAATTGACATAGGAAAAAAAATAATGTGCTTTAGGTAACTTTTCACTTTATAATAAAAGTTTCCGGAACCCACTGCAACTAAGATAACGTCACAAGTTAATGTTAATCCCAGCCAGTGTAAATAAGAACCAGATAGCCATCTGCATGATTTGGATCTTGCTGCAGAAATCACCCTGCACACTTTAAAAATCACACTTTTTCAAAACAACAAACCCCAAAAATGTAAAAAGCCAAATTTTAGCAGGACAGATCTTCATTTTGCTGCAGAACATGAAAAGCTAAATGGGCCTGTGTACATAACTGCTGAAATAACATGTACATTTGTGTCCCAGTCCTTGATGAGGTTTTATTTTTGAACAAAACTGAGAAGAAAAAATTTACAACCTTGTTGGAAACTCGTGCTAAACTTGAAGAAGACGGCAGGCCATTAAAGGAAGAATAAAGGCTGTTAAACTTAACTCAAATGTGTGGTTGATATTAATTTTAATATGACTCAGTGGCATTCACAGCTTTGCTCAAGATGCTGAGGGTAACACCTCGACTCATTTCCTGTAACAGCCAAGAAGCGACACTGACAGCACATGAAAGACCGGCAGTTTGGGAACAAGTGTGTGTGTGTGTGCCAAAAGGACTGGTGGTGGAAACCCCCTCGATGCTTTAATACAGGTTACAGTTGGTCATCAACATGTATTACCTCAGTGTGTAAGCTTCATGTTGACTTGCAAATGATCCTAAAGCGAATGCAAAATCTTCTGCTTTGAAAAAAGGAGTTGGCATGTTGAAATTCAACAGGAAATAAACAACTTCTCTCTACATCTCACTAATATTAGTAAAGCATTTACAATGGCTCCTCTGTCAAAAAGAGAAGAGAGGCAGAGGAGGAAATATGAGCAGATTAAAGGCTGTGCGTCCGTTGAAGAGACACACTCGGTATGGGCCACATGTGTTTCCATTTATAAACGCTGTAAAAAAGCTTCTTAACTCTGCCAGAGCCTCCTGTTCTCTATGAACTGAGAGCTACACCCTTCTGAAGAAGTAAAAGCTTCATTTAAATGTGAATAACAGCTTGAGTACACCACGCTGATGAAAACTCTACACAGTCACATTTTAGGACAATCAGGAGTTACCCCTACTTCACACTGGAAGCATCAGCGGCACTGCACAGCAGCGGAACGTCACTGCTTCATATAGTCTATGGGGGGATTCAAACCAGCCGCAACGCGTCCCAGAAGCGTCTTCCCACACTGTTAAAGACAGGATCAGGTTCTATTTTAGTCGTGGGCCGCTTCTGGGACACGACAATTTCTGCAAACGTAGAGCTAGACAGGAAATCACACACAGTTTCAGTGTAAAACCCGCAGTGATTTTCTACATAAAAGACTACTGCAGCGATATGATTTCATATCTATGTAGATTACGTTGGCAATACAAGTGACTGACAGCTTATTTATTTCCAGCATCATTCCAGAAGTGCAGCAGTGTGTTTTTCATAGCTTTAATCCTGCAGTGGAGAGGAACAACATCACATACGACATCAGTGATATCAAATGGAATTTCCTTGTTTTTGGTTTAACAGCGGATGGTATCTTGAGTGATTTTGGGATCTCATGAGTTGAGCGAGAAGGGTGGCATTAGTCTTGAGGGACTTTGCGATCTTGTGAGTCCAGCGAGGAGCATGGCTGAGATTCTCCCGGTGTGTACTGGCATGCAGTGAAAACCGCAAGTAAACCATTCCGCTCCGAAGTGTGAAGTAGGGTCACACGTTAACAGACAGAAGAAACAAGTTAGTATTACAACTGATTAACTCTTAACCATTCCTCTCTGCTGTGCGGCCCAGAATCCCAAAACCAACCCCGTAGAAAACCGACGCGTGCGTGGACCAAAACTGACATCTGAAATAATGGTCGATCGCTACATTAACAACTTGTCATTTTCAGCAAATGCCTTTGTATTTTCCATGATTCTTCAGATGTGTTTTTTTTAATTAAAGGTGATTCTAATATATCAATCAAGAACTGTATGAGCCCCCGAAAAATAAAAAAAGCAATAGCTACTTTTGGGGTGTATTGACTTAAAGTTGGAAAAGCATTACCAAGGACAGCCTCACTAAAAAATCATCAACAAGGCAAAACATGTTGGACTCTTAGTTTTCTACAGTGTGAAAACCAGAGGGAGGAAAACTGTCAAACTGCAAAAACAGAACAGTTTTTGCCATTCATTCATAAAATTATTTAGAAAAACTTTAAAATAATCTGCACAAAAATCCACAGAAGCTTTTAGAAGACTCGGGGAAAAACACTTGTGTAAACAAACGATAAGCAACCTCAACACACCTTATCAAACTCTACACTCTAACAACACACACAAGCCTGTCTTCACCTGAGACAAAGAGCTGAAATTCTGTGAGAAATGTTTATGAATTCTAAGAAAAAGTACATTTAGACACCGACTGCAGTCCAGTGCAGTAATAAATGTATCACGAGTGGTGCAGAAACAGTGCTGAGTGGCTAAGCTAACATCCTGTGGTGTGTACTTGTGAACTTGTTCACACACACACACACACACACACACACACACACACACACACACACACACACACACACACACACACACACACACACACACACACACACACACACACACACACACACACACACACACCTCAGTAGAAACAGATGTGGTTCAAAAGCAGTGTACTCAGACATTGCTTTGGGAAAAGAATTTTAACTTCCAACGTTGTCAGTGTGAATTTATCTGGTTGTGAAAGTCAGATGACAGTTTAAGCAAACAGAAATTTGCAATGCAAGCTATTCCTATTTCTGGCTTGCTGTTTTAACCAGTGACTTTTTCTTTTCCTAATGCTGCAAATTATTGTTTTTGTAAAACTCAGTCAGACTGAGAATTTTTCCCGTCTGAGGAAAAAAATGATATGATCAAAGTGAAAGCAAAAATCCATTTGGATGTGGAATACAAAAATAAATAAACAACAAGGCAGAACTCTGAGTTTGAACTTAGGAACCACACTAGAAGTCCTGTAAAATACAGAAATGAACTGATGAAAAAAAAAAAAAGAAAACAAATTTCCAGCAGATTATCATGAATCATAACAGGGATTGTGTCTGACTTGAGCTTAAAAGGCTTGAAAGACAAAACCATTTTAAGGGTTTTCTATAACCATGATGAGAATTAGGTGCATTTATAACCAACCAACAATGTTAAATAGGTCAAATACATAGTTTCTCTATTCCTGGTTCTTTGCTTCTTACATTTAACCAATCAGTGAACATTTGCATCATGTGGACCAATCAGACTACAGCCACGTCACAAAGTGGTCCCATCGTGAAAAGCTCACAGTGCTTCACAACATTTTTAAATCCTGCAACTGGTTTAAAAATAGGAAAGCTGGGAGGCATCCAATGGGATCTGGTCTCAGTTTGAAAGCTTCTTAGGAAACCAGAGACCAGGATGTGATCCAGATTCAACTCACTGAAGCAACTGGATGAGTTCAAGAACAACAGCAGACATTTGTGGACTCATAACATCTCATTGTTCTGCAGGAGTACAATCCTAAACACACGTCCAATGCTGCCAAAGAGCCTTGAAGACAAAAAGGAGTCTTTATTGACATAAAAGATTCCATGACCAACAAAGTCAGGGAATAAAACCTGAACTAGAAAAAGAATTACCAGGGAAGACTTTCCAAACACAGTCCTAAATTTGAATTTCCACTTCATAAGTTCTATTGCTTTTGCAGATTTGGACCCTGGTGTCTGCGTCTCTCATACAGCTCAGAAACTTGGCATGTAAATGTAATATCCATTCAATGACTAAAGCGCAGCGGCTGCAGAGCAAATTACGTTTAACTGTTTATCCAATGCAAGGCTGGCTTATGTAAGCTTAAACGCTCCAAGTTAGAGCAAGTGCATCAAAACCGGTCCGAGCTAAATTAGCTGTCGAGTCCATCCTGACACCACCTTCTTTTGTAGTGTCTTTCCTGTGTGAAGATTAATTACTGCATATATCTAAAGACCTGAAAACATCCCCAATCTATTGCAATGTAAAAAGGAAAAAATAACATCTCAACAAACCTGTCTTATTGCACGCAGAAACAATGAGGTGGGAAATGTGAGCCTACTTACTCAATCTGTGTCCATAGAAGAATTAGCAGCAGGTTCAGAAGACAGTAGAAGAAGCACCTAAAGTCATTCCTCATAAAACGGCAAAACCTGAGCAGCCACATACAGCTGACAACTAACAAAAGCACCAAATTAGCAGCATCTAAATGTCTCTGAAAACATCACTTATGGACATAAGTGCTTGATTCCTCTTTCTCATCACACATCATTTATATACGGCACACACCACTTCCTCCTTTTCAGTTCCCCACCTGCTGGGGGGGGGAGGGTAGTGAAGTCTCAACTGAAGCCAACAGGAAGGTTGGAAACAAAACCACCATATATTTGATACGCTGCAATTCCTTTATGCAGGAAATTATTCAAAAGCGGTGTGTCTGATGCATTGGCCCACTGGCCACTAAGATGAGTTTCTATCCTTTAAATGAATTAAATGGAGCATAACCGATTTTTGCATCCAACAGCAACAAAAATGCATCTGCGTGTAGTTTTTTTTCTCTTAAATTACTATTAAAACATGGGCTTGTAAATTAGTGACAAATACCATCAAAAAAGGCTCTCAATAATCGCAAACCGACAAATTTCTGTTTAAAATAGAAAATAACTCGAATCAACCACAAATCTATATTATATCACAATTTATTCTTTTTTAAGCCTAAATTTGACAGCAATTATGTATTTCTGACACTGTTAAGCTTATTTAACCAAACTGTTGCCACAGCAGCATATTTGTTACTACAACCTTACATTTCTCCACAAATCAGTCACACTTCACACTTTAGCTGCACACTGCAGCTTCTGTAGCTGCTGCATGCCAAGTTGGACAGAATCCGCCTGAATGCAGACCATTGATCATTCTTTGGTTTATCAGAGAAAACAGAGATTCTATTTAGCTGAAAGTATACAGATACCAGCTGAAAATGCTGCTGGAGAAAAAGGGTATAGCACAGCTCTACATCAGTCACTTCCTGTGCTCTCAGTGTCACACTTCCTGCTTCGCAACAGTCAGAGGCCTTCTGCCAAGTCTCCATTGCCCGTGTAACCGCCCGCTTCAGCAGCAGAGCAGCTCTTTAAATGGATACCTTGACTTTCATTCTGACACTCCAGTTGTTTTGTCTCAAACACAATCAGATCTCCAGTTAGGGGGAAACAATAAAAACATCCTGAGCTGATTTTTGAGTCCTGCATATAAAAAGTCCAGCATGTCCTGTGTTGCATCTGGCTAATGCATCAAAAAATTATGTGAGAAAGAGGAAAATCAACACCTTCAAACAAGAAATAAACGTGTCCCTAGAACTGATAGTAACTGTGGGAATAAAACGTATCTACAAAATTTTCTTAGAACGTCTTTTTTATTTTTATTTTTTGCTGACCTGCAGTTCTCCTTTCTTTTTCTGCAACAGACCCAGAATCAGTTAAGAGTTGTTTTTATACAAAATCAGGCTGCAATATTGTGCAGCATCAGCAATTCAGGATGCAACAACATCAAATGCTAATAAAAAGACTAAACCTTATTTAGTGTACAGCTCCTAAGAGAATATTATAGTATGTTGTTTCTGCAGACCAAAAGCACAATGTAAACTTTATTCCTGGTAGAGTTTAAGAAGAACATTGATCTCAATTATTCTCAGATTTGGTTTTCTGCATAAATTCAATATTAGAGATGAACAAAGTCACCGAGACTTCACCAGTTTATTTTGATTCGAGTTTTTTTTTTTTACCCGGAGCTGAGAAGCTGCAGAAGCGTGAGAGACCAGATTCATACCAACAGCCTCGTATCGGGTGTAAAGTTAGCTCCTACTCTCCAACCAAAAGCACCAGAAAACCAATTATCAGCTAAATCCACAAGTAAAACATTTAGTATTAGTCTTATTGACCACATCTCAGCTACACTCCTTTATTGTTGGCACCAGCATGGTCTCAGCTAGTTGGTAGTCTACGAGCAAAAACATCTGCAATCTCAGATGGCGCATTTCTGAGTGACTTTCACTGGTTTTTTCTTCTTTTTTAATTCATTCAAATTTTATGAAATAAACACAAGCAAATACAATGCAAAAACACATTGAAAAAAAACATTTGAATGAAAAGGAGCAGACAGAAGAAAAATCTTATAATTTCTGCCTCTTTTTACAAAGAAAATTATGTGTAAAACATACACAATATAATCTCATTCCCTTTCTAATTTTTATATATAGTCATTGACATTTTAATTTACCTTTTCATAATTACTTAATACATTTGATTTTATACATTTTTTAAATATAGTAAGTGCGTTTGATTCTATAATTTCTCTGTTAAGGGCATTCCACAATCTTACACCATTTACAGAAATATGACATTCCTTGATTTTGGTTCTGAATTTAGGTTTTTTAAAGACATCAGTCCCTTTTAACACGTACCCACTTATACTCTCTTATGAATTATTTTCTGGATTTTAGTTGGTAAATTACTCGTATTCGCTCTGTACATTATTTGCAAAATTTTCCACTCTACCAAGTCAGGAAATTTCAGTATTTTATATCTAATGAATAATTGATTAGTGTGATCTCTATAGTTACTGTTATTAATGATCCTCAATGCTCTTTTTTGTAAAATGAACAATGGTTGTGTAAACGTTTTGCATGTGGCTCCCCAAATTTCTAAACAATAAATTAAATATGGTTCAATCAGTGAGTGATACAACGCTACTAACCGAGACCAGTTTAGTAGAAACTTGACTCTATATAATACTGCTCTGGCTTTGGCAACTTCCCCCTTTATATAACTTATATGTGATTTCCAAGTGAGACTCTCATCAAACATGACTCCAGGAAATGTGGTTTCTTTTACTCTTTGAATTTCCATTCCCTCTATCGTTAAAGATACATCACAGCTTCTTTTGTTGTTAAAGAGTATAAAGTTTGTTTTGTTCAGGTTCAATGACAGTCTAATTATATCAAACCATTTTTTTTTACTTTAATCAGTTCACTGTTTATTACTTGAGTTACTTTATGTGTATTTAATCCTGAATAAAACAATGTGGTGTCGTCTGCAAATAAAACTGTACCATGTAGATGAGATACATTTAAAAGGTCATTAATAAACAATATGAACAGTTTAGGTCCGAGGACCGACCCTTGTGGCACTCCACAATGAATATCTTTCAGGTCAGATCTGGCATCATTTATTTGAACAAACTGTTTCCTACTGTCTAAATAACCATTAACCCATTGATGAGCCACACCTCTTATTCCATATCGATGTAATTTAAGAAGTAACCTTGAATGATCAATGACATCAAATGCCTTCTTCAAGTCAATAAAAACACTAATGAAATAGTTTTTATTGTCTATTGCTGATGATATTTTATCTACTAAATCCATTAGTTGCTCAGCTAGTTGGTAGTCTATGAGCAAAAACATCTGCAATCTCAGATGGCGCATTTCTGAGGGACTTTCACTGGTTTTCTCCCACAATCTACAATCACAAACGTTGGATTAACTGACCTGAGGAATGAGTGTCCTACAACAGCCTTGCAACCAGCTCAGGGTACAGAAACAACAAACACACATGGTGGATTTGAGGTGAGCAGCCAATGCAAGAGTCCACCAGGGAGCAGCAACATCAAATAAACGAGTCTTAATTAGACTTTTAAGTGGCGGTTCAGATCTTTTGGGCTTGTGTGGAAAAGTTATGAACATTAACAACTTGCCTGTTCTAGATTACTCTTTGAATGACATTTTGTCAAATTTAAAGTGGGAGCAACACCATGGCTGGAGGCTCATTTCAACCAGACATCCTGTTAGAAAAATAGCTGGAAAAAAGGCGTCGCCTGGAGGAGTTGACGTTACCCGTGTTTTATGCACCAACCCTTAGTTTGAGGAAGGATGGAGACGATACAGATTCTGGCCAATTGCAATTTTAAAACGGCACCAAAACCGAGCTATGGCAATAATCGAGCTAATGCTAATACCTAAACCACAATGAGAGACTTAATACTAATTTGCATGTTCATTAGAAAATGGGATTACTGAATGAAGCTTGTTTGGCTCTGACGGTAGGTGACGAGATGCACCCTACTGCATCACCCAAATAGTTAAACACCAGCAGGAGTGAAGCTGAAGGAGTAAAAGCAGGATGGGAAAATAGCTGAAGAAGTGGACACATCCACAATGCTGCAGCACAGTGCATTTACAATACTCTACTGTTTGATGGTGCTACGTTGTGGTGATGATATCATCAGAAGACCGCTTCTGTGGTCTCGTCACTTCCAAAATGGGAAGTGCCTAAGCCGGTCCTAACTCAGCTAAATTGGGATATCCTTTACATTCAGAACAGTTTGGTTTATTAACCATTTTATCAGAGTGCCAGCAGTAGTCCAGCTTGGTTTGACCTCTGCCAGACTAAGGTGTTTACATAGATTTTAAAAGTCCATCTTCAGTAAACTAGATATTAGTGTGTCCACAAACCAGGTGAAATGTTCTGTCTGTTGCTGCTGTTTGCAAATGAAGCAGTTGTAAATCCCCACAGATCTCACTGACCAATCAGATTCAAGCCAATCGTACTAAACATCAACTGATTCGGAACAGCGGCTGATTTTGTTAAAGCACATTTGTAATTCAAGCCTGAGTGGATTGATGAGTCAAAATGGTGTCAAAGCCTAACTGGGTTGCTGCCAACTGAAACAAGCAAAGACTGTGGCGGCTTTTTCAAACCATCACATCTCTGTCAAGTCTGTATTAAAACATATTTCCTTTTAATTCAGTAGTCATTTTTAAGCTAGCATTTTCAACAGGAACTTCTACCAGAGTAACGATGTAATTTAACTTTTAAAAATATAGAAGGATTTAGAAAACTGGTGTAAATTAGTTAGAAATTTTGGACGTTAGTGGTGTTTAATAACAACAAACCACTTTGATCTTGGACCAATTCAGAAAAACCATTAGCTCATCAGTCTGGTCTTAGATATTGTCCGTTTCTACAAACTGAGGCTGTTCAAAGCACTTAACTCAGTCGCTGCCAGCCATTTCCTGATCAGTAAAGGCCTTCGCTGCCAGCGTTTCTCACAGTTTTTTTCAGTTTTCTTTAAGAGTCACAGAACGTTGCATGCTAGGATGATGTCGACGCCAAAACAACCAAAACAAAGCAGAGACTCACCTCTTACATCAGGAAGAATCCGCGCGTTTCGAGCATTATCCGTTCTTTCATAATCCATTGTCGAATTGTGACTGGCAGAAGCTTTTCACTTTTTTTACAGCAGTGGCCCAAAACGATCTCCTGACACATGTTTTTTCTGCTTCCTGATCACGTGACGTATGCGGATGAAGATCGGCTTTAGAGCTGAGATGTTTGTTCTCACGGATTTTAGTCGTCACTGGCAGTGAACGGTTGGATTTTAAATGACGACTTTAGTCATCAATGGCAGTGAATGAGTTAATATTTCTAACATTCTCCAGACACCCCAAACTAAACAAATGTAAACAGGTTTACTCCTCTCTACAGCTGACATGAAGGGGGAAAGCTTCACATACAAGGATTCACCTCTACTCATACAGTGAACATTTAAAGAGCTTCTGAATTGGTTTTAATTTCAGACTCCAGGAGTCGCCATACGTCACATGGACATCAGCGCAGCTTTCCTCCAAGCAAATCCTTCATTTTAAAAGCTTTGCAGTGTGTATCGAAGGGCACCGACAGTGGGACATCAGGGCAAACACAAACAGAAAACGCTGGATTGCAGGATGAGTTCTAATAAAATCGCAGAAGCTGCACTTCCTGATTGCATGAATAATTGATTAATGTGGGGCTGGTTACACTAAAAATACTCTGGGCACGTGGTCAAGAGTTCCTGCTTTGGATGGACACTGATGCCACGATCACATGTTTTGCACAAAAAAAATGAAGAACACAGTAACACTATTATTATTGACATGAGCTGAGCAAATACAGGCCTTTTTCCTGGCAAACCAACTCTGATCAAGTTCTGTTTGTGATCCGATTTTGCAAATAAAAAAGCAGCTTCATAGGAAAGAAATATCTCCAGCTTAAATATCTCCAGCTTCTACCTTCACCCCCCCCCCCCCCCCAAAAAAAATAAAACCAGGATAGTCCGACTGTGCTCTGAAGGAATGCCAAGAACTTTGAGCTACAATGACCTAAAACTAGCCCTGTGACAACGCACATGGATCTGAGGAAACATGAGCACATTCACAAAGCTTCTCTTTGTTGTGAAACAAGTAAAACATGGCTGATGAAACCCTGCCACAAACTGATTGCTGTAAGAATAACTGGAATGCCGTCACACATGCCCAATGTTCCCAATGGTTTTCAACCAACCAAGGAACTGGAAACACAATACGTGTTTACAGATACTTCCTTTATTGCTTCACTTAATACTCAAAGCTCATTGTGGTCAGGTCAAATATGTAGCTACAAAATACTGAGGGGAAACCCATCAGCTGTTCTGATTATAGGTTTCCTAACAGCCAGTGCCCATGTTTGGTTTATTTGTGTCACAAAACATTTAACCGAGTTGACTTTGTGAATCTATGTTTTAAAAAAAAGGAAATAGTCAGAGTCAAGATTTTGATGTGATCAGGTCACATGAGGGATGCGGTGCAACTTAGTCCAAAAGTTCCTTTATCAAAAACTTCAGTGCATTGTGAAGTTCATCCATAGGCATGCCAAGCCTCTAGGTGGCAGTAGTTCCCCAAATCTTCAGCATCTTTGCCAAAAAACTGCCTTGGATGTGGAATAACAAGGGGGCGGGCAATAACCATCCCTAATGGCATCCTTCGCCTGTGGTCTTCTAGGTGTGGAACATGAAAGTGAGTGTAAACAAGTCGCTAATGTGATATCAGAGCACATTTGCTGAGGACATTGATGTTGCAGAACCGAAAACTTGGTTATTCACATCCACAAGCAAATGCTGCCAGAATTTGCAAATCTTCACTTTTGTGTAAATTCTTTTGAAAAAAATCATTTTTGGTGCCATTTACCCAGCCTGGCCTGCCAGACTCATCCTCTGTTTAATTCTGCACAGAGGAGTCTGGTAACTCACAGGCAGAGAGGCACATGAGGGGCGGGACTAGCCAGCTCAAAAATAACCAATCAGAAAAAAGACGGAAATGCAGACTGTACCGCGCAACGCTGTAGTTTTTTAGCTGTAGTCAAAAAAAAAAGGTGTCTGGCAGCAGCGCAAACGTCTTTTAGTTTTTTTTTTTTTAGAAGAAAGGCTTTTAGCGCTTCTACTTGTTGTGGTTTTAAGACATTCAAGTCATTTAGAACAGAGGAAAGAGCTGCAGCGAACTTCGCTTCAGTCGCCATGTTCGACAAACTCGGTGTTATGGTGTGTGATGTACGCTACTCAGCGCTGATTGGCTTGGTTAGAATTAACTTGGTTAGAATTCTCACAGGGTGGGGTATTTTAATAGGAGAGTTCCCAGACCCTTTCTCTGTGCAGAATTAAACAGAGGAGGAGTCTGGCAGGCCAGGCTAGCATTTACCTCGACTTTTTTGAGGATGGCAGACCAAATCGTACCCAGCTACGTGTGTACGGGGTCTTGGTTGACACCCTATCACATCGTTGTCTTACATTCCTTATGCTTTCAGTCTCACGGAAATTTAAAATATCTGGACTCTTTTCAAAATCTCAAGAGTGAAGCCCGGCAACTAATGCAAGGAAACGAAGAACACTGGTGAATGTTTTGAGATTTTTTGGAGACACAGTCATGAGATGCTTTTTGTTGTTGATAAAGCACAACCAACAATGAAACATAACAAGTGTGTTTTAAAGTAGCAACACAGGTTTAGAGAATTAAAGAAAGCAAAATCCACGTCTTTAACTTTTTGTTCATGCATTAATTGTATCGCGTTGTTGCAACGATAACCTTTTGGTTAATCAGTAACGTTCCAAAGAAAGGAATCTGTGTCCAGTACTCATATAATTGGAATTTAGACAGCTAAATGGAATGACAGAGATATTCCACTAATCAATTCCTATCAATACCTCAGAGGATTGAATTTTTTATATAATTTAGTGAGTTTAATTTTTTGTTTTTAATGCAACCATTTATAGCTGATATTTGAAAGATCCTCAAATGATCCAATAAAAAAAGTATCGTCCTATAAAGAGTTTTAACTCAACTGAGTCTAACAATGTCCCTGCTGTAATGTTTTTTAGACAGGTCCTTCATTCATAATCATAATAAATTTGCAGTGGTCTCTAGTAGGAATGAATGTAATGCAAGTCCTACTCTAGGGGAAAAAGCTCCAGTGCACAGAGGATTTAACCAGAGGAGAAAGTGGCTTTAGACAGCAGGATTTAAAGTCTTATTTTCTGATATTTGGACATCTCACTTCTGATAACAGCAACACCACTATGCCGCTGACTCTGCTTACCAACGTTGATGATTTATCTCCACAAAGAACACACGCCTGGAGGAATTCTGCTGTGTGGTGAAGTAGATAATGCTAACAGTTAGCTTCTAATAGCAGCTGCTGTTTCCTGGGTGCTAAACTAACAACAGCTTTCCCTGTCGCGAGTCAACATGAGTGAGTCCATGAATGTTAAGTGACAGTGTGATGTCACACTATCAGGCATCTCTGAACCGAGCGTTTTTCCATCTATTTTCTATCGGAAGCTAATGCGGGAAATAGGGGTAGAAGACAATTTTTGCATTCAGCCTGTATGAAACACTCAGAGTGGTCATTTTTAAAAATAAGTAAAAACTGGTTTCTCAGTGAACCTGCTCTTTATACGTGTGTGAAAAGGGTATTCGACTTGTCATTTTCCTATAATTATCAGTTAGAATCCCTCTGATCAGCATACCACTGTCACTTGAGAATATTTTGTGGTTAGACACAAAACCTCAAGACTTTTTAATGTCCAGTTGAGGCTTAAATGTTCAATAGGTGGCAAAAAAGAATAAATAAATAAATAAGAGAAGGGGAAGCAGAAATACAGAACTCATGGCTGCAAAACATCAGTTCACTCTGTTCAACTTTTCTTCAGTCTACAGGAACATCTAGCAAACACAAATATAAAACCGTTCCAGTTGAGGTGTCAGGTTCCCACCAAATCTAGCCTGGCCAGCCATGCCCATGCTTCCTTATCGTCCTTCATGTAGAATAGGCAGAGGGTGAGTCTGGCAGGCCAGGCTACACCAAATCAGCCTTGTTTATTTTAACTATACCTTATTTATTATTGTTCTGTAATCATTATAGATTGTTGCTCTGGTGAGGTTGTCTATAAATATGTAAGGTTTTATTCTACCACAAAGACAAAGTCACTTATGACATAACACACCTGTCTTTATTTAAAGTGGTGTGATGCAGAGAACATCTCATTGGATGCAGGACATCTGTTTTCCTATTTGATGCCACATCACCCATGAAGAGTTTACTTCTAATCAACTATAATGCATTAGCATCTTTCACATCCACCGCCAGCAGAAAGGAGAAGTTTGATACCACCAATTATAAGTGATCTTACAAGCCATACCAGCTGCAGAGGCTTCAAACTGGGTTAAAATATAAACAAACCAGCAAGCAGACCTACTAAAATAATACTCTGCAGATATTCTGGCAATGAGAAAAAGCTCCCATTCATCTATTATGCGATTCGTTTAAATTCAGCTCTTTAAGACAACAAAATAAAAGCATAAACTTGAGTCATACGCAGCAAAAAGTGTCCTTTACACATGTGTACCCGGTGCATTTTTTAGCTGTTTTCAGGGGGGCGCGCGCGCGTGCGTGTGTAAAGCTGAAATATGTCACATTTGCAGCTCACAACTCAAAACACATGCTTGACCGTTCGTGACGAGCCTCATCCTCCTAAACATGATTCGAGTTAAAATAGGGGGGAAATGGTCTTTTGTTTAAATCACATTTTATGGGGAAGAAAATGGTCCACTGTTACCAAAGCCGCCGCCATATCACGGTGAACGTCTAACCGACCAAATTCTTCTTAAGTCGGTGAAATAAACAAGCCATTACTGCTGGAATCATTCCCAGCTGCTTTCAAGAACTTGTCAAGAACTTGTTTCAGCTTTTTAACCCCCAACAGGACTCTCATGGTTTCCGCTTCACGGGAACTACTTTCCCACAGCCGACAACAAAACCAACACTAGACCAAAAGTAAATGAAACGTTTGTTAGCGTACCTCGGAGAGTAAGGAATGCAGTTAAGAGCCAAAAAGATGTCCCATCGACCGTCAATATCCTGCGGTTCGTGATGAAGAGCTGCGCAGCCAATCCTGAAGTCTACAGAGCAGAAGCAGAGAAGGCGGTCTCACCGAGATCACCGAAGAAACAGGGCTGGACCAGGTTTTTTAGTGGGTTTTTTTTTTTTTTTTGAGAGAGGGAGGAATAAAAAAAAACGTAAATTTAGTCTAACAAAAATCCACGATGAGCTTTATTTCTGCCACTAAACAATAATGATTAAGAAATACTCATTGGATTTGATTACTTCCGGTCACGCAACGTTCCGACTTTTATTTTGATGCCACTGGTTCCAGCTGGTACCATATCCGGTACTTCAGCTGTGATGCAATTTTCCAGATGTGGAACGAGGGAAGAAAGGGGAGGGGGGAGGAAAAAGCCACAGTGACACTTTGTTTTGTTGCAATGCGTCGTGTGCCAAGTTGTTACAGAACCGCACCATAATAGGCGCCGGGCTGTCAAGATGGCAATCAAATCAGGGCTTCAACATTTACCTCCAGCTTCAACTCAAACTGTCATTGTAAAAAGAAAAACTTTACATCTTATTTTGGCACTGCCTGTCACGTTTGTCATTGCCAACAAACTGGATCTAATGAAAAATTGTTCACTGATGCGTAGTAAATTTTGACGGGAAGAGGGCGACATCTAGTGGACATTTCAAACATTACATATTTTCCCTTTCAATTAAAAACAGTTTTATAGTTAGAAAGTAAGTTTGAAAGCAATGTGTGACGATTATACTGAAAATATACATTGGTATTAAAACAAATGCATTATTATGGATTTATAAGTTTGTGATATTAACTTAAAAAGACACATTTTTTTGTTACAACATTCAGATTTGCTTGTCGGTTTTCCACTCTTCTAAAGCCAATATTTCACTGAGTTGTAACTGTTTGCGACCAACGGCCATGAAAAAGTACAAAAACCACAGGAAAGACATCAAACTGAGACTGATCAGTGACTTCCACTTTAATGTGTCTGCAATTGTATTGAACTTGAAATGCCAGGTTTTATTTTAGTCGCAACACAAATTCTGAGGCCTTCACCTCCTTGGAAAATCGTCTTATTTTTTGCCCTTTCTGATGGCGGATTCCTAGCAAATATCGTATCTTCCACCACCCTGATAACTTTATGACGGTGCTCCTGGCAGTAAACTAATTCAACATTTATAAATAATGTGTAATTGATTTGTTCTAATAAATGCATGTAGCTGATAAATATTTTGTTACTAAAAAAATACAAACCCATTTTCTGTGTAAACCTAAATTAATTTGTTTTCTAATTAAATACAAAGTTTGAATTAAAAACTGTATTTGACTACTAATGAAAACATTTATTAAAACTTACAAAGCACTATTTACAAGTGACAAAGCAATTCTGCAGGTTTGATGCATCTATTTAAAATAAACTTCACTTTTCTGATACATTTACCATCACTTTATGTTCCAATTATTCAAATTTATTCAACTATTCAGGCTTTTATGCAACCCAGACTGCTGTTTTGCTGCTGGAAATGCAACTGCAGCTCCAGATGACAGACAGATGCAAGTAACTGAAATGTCACACTGTTCAGAGTCTCACAGGAGGAAAAAAAACAGGACAGGCTGTTCAGATGTTCCTGCTGGACAGGCACTGGTTGACCACCTCCAGCAGAGACGAGTTCTCCAGAGCTGCGGCCACTCGCTCTTTATCTGCAAGCTGCTTGTTCACTGAATGTGCAAAAACATTTAGTAAGTTAAAAAACACGAATAAAGTACTAACAGTTAAGGTGAATGTGTGATGTTCCTACCTGCTTCCTCTGAGGCGTGAGTCCCTGGAGTTATGTGAACATCAATCTGAGTGAGAAAAGAAAAACAAAAATATTAGACAAACATTTATACTGGAAAAGCAACTATCAGCCCCCCCCCCCCCCCCCCCACACACACACACACACACATACTTTAAACCTGTCTGGCAGGGAGCGCAGAAGCTTGACTTTGATCGACAGTCCGATGAGCGTTGCCATGCTGCAGTGTGGTATGGTGGGTGTAAACTCAACACCTACCGTGCTTTCTGCATCATTGACCTATTTAAAAAATGACAAAAGCACAAAAAGTAGTCATTAGATTTTTCTGAGCAGCAAACCTGGGCTTAACTATTGAAATCTTGTCAATAAGTAGACTGATTTTACGCCTGTGCTCTAATACGTTTGTTGACCTGCAAATATGTGTTGTTTTATAAAAAGCTCAGCCAAAAATAAATACAACTGCAATCTGAACCTTCTTCGCCCCCTGGTGAGGTCTTCATTGACTCTTCTGCAGCTCACCTACCAGCCAGGTATTAGGAGCGATGCCACCGTCCACTGAGCTGTGGCCCAGCCGGAGCAGCCTGGAAGCACTGTGAGGACCAGGCTTACTGATTTCTTCAGTGCTTTTAACACCATTCAGCAGTGAACTCGGACATAAGCTGGAGCTTCGACACATTTGTATTATCTTCTTTAAAATGTTTATTTAGCTTGATATGTTTGCTAGTATACAAGGCCTGAAAACACTATTAAATCATTTTGACAATTACATTTGGCAAATTCAAATGTCAATATTTTACCTCCAGGAGGTGATTCGTGCCTTTATCAGCATGACAATTGACTACTGTAATGTTCTTCATGTTAGTTTCCTACAGCCGTCCATGAAAATGCTTCATTTGGTCAAAAAATCAGCCACTCACCTTTTAAAAGACACCTCAAGATGTGCGCCCATAGCTCTGGTTTTATTTTCCCTCCACTCGCTTCTGTTTGTTTTGGGAAAGATTTTAAACTTTTGTTTGTTTTAAAGCTCTTAATTGTTTGGCCCCACCTTACGTCTCAGATTAACCGAGCGTCCGTGTCAGATCGCTGAGGTCTTCATCTCCATTTCTCCTCAAACTTCCAAGAACTACATTTAATCACTGGGGTGACTGAGCTCTCGGTTGTGTCGCCCTGGAACCAGCTACCTTTAGATTTACGTGTGGTCACTGACCTGAGCCATTTTCTATCCAAACTTAAAACTTTATTAATCAAAAAGGCTTTTAGCACTTTGTAGCATTGTGTTATTCTAGTTTATTCCTCACTTTCTACTAAGGGTGCAGCAATTGCAGTTTTTGGCTGACCACCGATCTTGAGAAAAATCTGTCAGTTCCTTAAGACTTTCATTTTTCTAATTTTGAAAACAAAACTTTTGACACACTTGTCCAAATAATTTTTTTATATCAATGATTTGCTTTAACATTAACAAGGGGGGAACCAATTGCAGTTTACGGTCGATCCTCGATCTTGAAAAAAACCCGAGATCAGGGCCAATAGATCGATGCACCTCCACTTTTTACTGATTCTGTCTCTTTGTTCATTGTTTTTCATTTGAACAACACTTTGATGATCTGGACATATAACCTTTAATGTACTATATAAATCCAATAAATGAAACTGATATTTTACACGGAATTTGGGACAAATGTCAGTAGCGTAAAAGGACCAAAGTGTCAAACTTCGACTTGATCCCTAACCTATTTAAAAAAATATGGAGAACTTGTGAGTGGAAGACGTCTGATATTGGTTTTTCCATTGCCGATACCGATGTGTAGGAGATATGACCAGCCGATAATGGCCGATATTTGTTTTGGGCTAATTTTATATACACATTTTCCACTTAATGATAAAATGTCACTAATAACATCAACTGATGCACACAATTCTTAAGCTGAATCAGTTTTTGAACACTGAATTTAACTAACTATTAAATCTTAATTTTGTGCTCTGGTCAGTGTTAAAGTCAGACATCTAAATAAAGTTAATCAAACAAATTTATGAATTGACCAAATATTAAATATTCAAAGCTGGTAAATTATAGTTGAGAAATAGTGAGAATTTATTATGCAGATGTTATTCAGGAAGTAAAAAAGTATTTTAAATTAAATTATGCAACAGCACCAAGCTGCCCTAAGATGTGCCTGCCTTAATCAGTTTAACTAATACGTTTTATAGGCTGACGCCGATATATTTATAGGTAAATATCGCCCAGATATATCAGTTTATCCCTACTGGTGAGCACATTAGTTTTGCTCACATTTATCCCACCATATTAAATTTCCTTTTTTGTTTGGTTTTACAATTAATAAATTAGACTCAAATGAGAGGACATACCTTGACTCGAACTTGTTCCACCACATTGAGTTCCTCAAGAGACAAAGGATGTTCTGGATCATTGATGGATCGGATCAGATGTAACTTCAGTTAAAGAATTATTTAAAATATATAATAAACAGCTTTTCTCTTTGATGTGTAATCGATGCAGTTGTAGATAATAATATAAGCCACTCTAAACATAATGTATGTCTCCCGTACTTCAGTGGTCAGGCTTTTATTTTAATTCGCTAGATTTCTCTACGTTTTCCTAAGGAAATGTACCATTTAATCATCTGAGTAAAATAAACGTTTCTTTGCGCCTCTCAGTAGTTAAATTAGCCTAAACCAGAGAAAGGGATCGAGGATATCGAATATTTCTCTGTCGTCGATGAGGTCGTGAACGTCTTCATCCTCTTCGGACGCAGTCAGCGGCCTGTCCCTGCAGCGCTGGAAGATCACGGGGTTTGCGTTTTCCATCTGGACCCCTCGGGACATTTTAAAGTATGATTTAGCCCAAAATAAACTTAAAAAAACACTCCCAATCTGAAAAACTTATCTAGCGCTCCAGTGGTTTACTTCCGGGATAAACGGGAAATGACGTGTGACGTCATGAACTTCTTAAAGAAACAGCGCTCATCCAGTGAGAAAAACACCCTGAAACAAACCAATAAAATAAAGGCTGGAATTCTGCTAAAAGTCGTAGATTTAAACGTTTGCTTCGAAAAACACCCGACCAAGTTAAAATATGTATTTTCTATAGTAATAAGAATTTTAAATAAATGCAACAAATGTAACTGTCACTTTTTAATTGATAATTTTGGTGGATTAATGTCCTACCAGTAAGAAAAGTTAAATAATGAAAGACACATTCTTTGAAAAATTTTCAAATAATCAAACGCACCCTGATTGTTGATATCAATTAAGCCTCATCATGATAAATATGAACGTTATTCTGATTAAATATGCCGGTGAAGGTTCTCAGTGATCCAGGTCATGGGTTTAAATGAAGGCAACTGGACTTCTTTGGATTCTTGAAGACGTTTCGCTTCTCATCCGAGGAGCTTTTTCAATTCTAACTGAAATATGGGAGAGTCAACTGTATGGATGCTTTACTAAAGCAAACCAAACAAGTCCGGACATATTATTTTAAATTGTTGAATATTTTGCAGGAATAAACTTAAAGGAAAGGATTACAGAGTCAGGAGCTTTCTTTTCTTGTCTTTATTGAACACACGCCAACAGAAACAACTGATCTGAAGTGCAACAACCTCTATGGTTTCTATTTTGTTAAATAAAGTTTTTAAACAGCCTCTTTTCCTTGAGGATCACTTTTAATATAGAACTTGCACCCCATCTTGTGGCATAAAAACGTATCACACATTGCTACATGATACAAATAATTCATCTCAGAACCTTAACGTGTTTGGATCATCGACATAAATAGGTTTGGACCGACAAGACAAGACAAGACAGCTTTATTTATATAACACATTTCCCACACAGAGGCAACTCAAGGTGCTTTACAGCAGTAAGAACAGACAAAACACACAAGCACAAAAATGAACTATGGAATTAGATATACTAAAACTAGAAGACTAACATAATAAAAAATTGAGAAAAGAACTAAATGTGGTCAGCTGAAGGTGTCAGGAGACTAAAACTAAGGCAGTAAAACTGCTACAGTGTACTATAGACAAACATTGTTGAAAACCAACAGAATTTCAATGCTTTAAGTAGAAAAGAGGGCTAACCAGGAATTACAATCACCTACAAAAAATACATTAACAAAGGGTTGCAGCGGATTACTAAAACTTAGAGTATTGAGGCAGACCCAAACTAAAGCAGTGAAACTGGTACAATGAACTACAGGAAACATTGATGAGTTAAAGTAGAAAATTAACAGAAATTCTACACTATGAGTATTTCTGTTACCAAAATGTTTAAAGTATGTTTAGTGGCTTCTTTTTTTTTTTTTACAACATGCCTTCTTTTCTGAATCATGTACACAAATCAGGTTAGCATTGCATGTGTGTGAGTGTGTGTGTTTGCTATCTAAATTGTTGTCAGTGCATCTTCTCTAATTTAGATTTTATTGTCCTTAAACACACCCTCACACATTTTTTGCAAGCTGCCCCTGTGAATAAGCAGAAATAAATTCTTCTTTTGCACCTGATGGAATATTCTGCCAACATACAACATCAGTAAAACAATTCTTGCAATATTATTTACATGCATTTAAATTTTGTCACAATCTGCTGAATACCAGATGCTGTATTTTTTTTCAGAACTGAGCCGTAGGAAAAATAAACATCTGCAATAAAAAAAGAAAAGAAATTTGATGAAATCCATATAAAAGAACACGTGAGACAAACTCAGCCCACAACAGTATATTAGGATTATCAGGTCCTGCATGGTCACCAGGCCTGGCTTAAAATCTGACACTCAATTAATTTCATCTCTGGACTTGTTTATTTCTTCTAATGAGCTGTAGAAGTAAAGCGAAATGAGGAAGATCAGCAATTGTGAAAAAAACTTTACCATGACACGTGCACCTGTTAGGGGAAAAATGTGTAGATAATGAGATACGTACCACAGAAGACACCTGTGACACTTCACAAAAGAAAAGAAAAGTTGTATAAGGGCAGCAATGGAGGAATTAGGCAAAATACTGTAACAATACGAACATCTGACATTGTGATTGATTATTCCAGTCAGTGATTCAGTTTCATTAAGTTAAATATGAAAACTATTGTTACAACCATGTTTGGGGTTTTAAATGAAGGACGAGCCGTAATACTTAGGCATGTGCAGGTTGGTAAAATGCAAGCATTTATTATAAATAAGCATTTTAATAACAAGAAAAACAACCCAAACTCTAGAGTGATGAACAGGAAACTGGGAAACCTTTGACAGTTCAAAGATCAGGACACTTTGACCTGTTAAGAGTTAAAATCCAAAACTAATTCTCAACTCTGCCTCTGAAATCATTGTCAGACAAATAGACAGTGTGGGTTAGATAACGTTCTTTGTCCCCTGTTGTGTACTGTGTGCTGTCATCCTGTAGATCCAAATAAAAAATTACCTACTTTGAGCTGCTTGTGCTGCTGAGTCCAGAGAAGCTCACCTGATGTGCTTTGAATGAGTTTCCAAAGGTGTTGACAGGCAGAGCACAACCTGGGATATATAGTCAGGTCCATAAATATTGGGACATTGACACAATGCTAACATTTTTGGCTCTATACACCACCACAATGGATATCAAATGAAACGATCAAGATGTGCTTCAACTGCAGACTGTCAGCTTTTATTTGAGGGTATTTACATCCAAATCAGGTGAACGGTGTAGGAATTACAACAGTTTGCATATGTGCCTCCCCCTTGTTAAGGGACCAAAAGTAATGGGACAGAAGAAGAACCATAAATCAAACTTATACTTTTCAATACTTGGTAGCAAATCCTTTGCAGTCAAATACAGCCTGAAGTCTGGAACACATAGACATCACCAGATGTTGGGTTTCATCCCTGGTGATGCTCTGCCAGGCTTCTACTGCAACAGTCTTCAGTTTCTGCTTGTTCCTGGGGCATTTACCCTTCAGTTTTGTCTTCAGCAAGTGAAATTCATGCTCAATTGGATTCAGGTCAGGTGATTGACTTGGCCATTGCAAAACCATCCACTTCTTTCCCTTCAAAAACTCTTTGGTTGCTTTTGCAGTATGCTTGGGTCATTGTCCATCTGCACTGTGAAGCGCCGTCCAATGAGTTCTGAGGTATTTGGCTGAATATGAGCAGATAATATTTCCCGAAACACTTCAGATTTCATCGTGCTGCTTTTGTCAGCAGTCACATCATCAATAAATACAAGAGAACCAGTTCCACTGGCAGCCATACATGCCCACGCCATGACACTTCCAGCACCATGAGTCACTGATGAGGTGGTATGCTTAGGATCTCCATACTCTTCTCTTCCCATCACTCTGGTACAAGTTGGTCTTGGTCTCATCTGTCCATAGGATGTTGTTCCAGAACTGTGAAGGCTTTTTTAGATGTTGTTTGGCAAACTCTAATCTGGCCTTCCTGTTTTTGGGGCTCACCAATGGTTTACATCTTGTGGTGAACCCTCTGTATTCACACTGGTGGAGTCTTCTCCTGATTGTTGACTTTGACACAGATACACCTACCTCCTGGAGAGTGTTCTTGATCTGGCTAACTTTTGTGAAGGGTGTTTTCTTCACCAGGGAAAGGATTCTTCGGTCGTCCACCACAGTTGTTTTCCGTGGTCTTCCGGGTCTTTTGGTGTTGCTGAGCTCACCGGTGCGTTCCTTCTTTTTGAGAATGTTTCAAACTGTTGTTTTGGCCACGATTAATGTTTTTGCTATCTCTCTGATAGGTTTCTTTTGTTTTTTCAGCCTAATGATGGCTTGCTTCACTGATAGTGACAGCTCTTTGGATCTCATCTTGAGAGTTGACAGCAACAGATTCCAAATGCAAATAGCACACTTGAAATGAACTCTGGACCTTTTATCTGCTCATTGTAATTGGGATAATGAGGGAATAACACACACCTGGCCATGGAACAGCTGAGAAGCCAACTGTCCCATTACTTTTGGTCCCTTAACATGTGGGAGGCACATATGCAGACTGTTGTAATTCCTACACCGTTCACCTGATTTGGATGTAATTACCCTCAAATAAAAGCTGACAGTCTGCAGTTAAAGCACATCTTGTTCGTTTCATTTGATATCCATTGTGGTCGTGTATAGAGCCAAAAATGTTAGCATTGTGTCAATGTCCCAATATTTATGGACCTGACTGTAAAAAGCTCCAACGGTCAGCAACGTGGGCACTGATGGGCAGATTATTACCCACCTGTGACATTTACCAGAAACTCTCAAAGATCGGCCTATATGGAAGTGATTTATATTGTAATTACAAACCATCATATGAAAAGTCTTGTACGTGGGGAGCAAAGTAAAGCACTTGGAACACATTCTAAGTGAAGTGAAGAGACAAGGCTGCAAGTTGTACATGCTAGCTAACGCTCTGGCACATAATTTGGTATGTGGTCAGACATGGCCATTTTTCAATGCAACTCTACTTCCTTCCATACGGCCCACTTGTGATGAAATTACTTTACGGAATGAAACAGTAATGAAGAAACTACACATGGCTTTTCAGAATGCATTTGGCCCGTTTCCACTTTCAAGAAGATCCGGGGCTTAACACACACACACGCACGCGCACACACGTGACACGCACTAGTCAACATCATATATATTTGTCTTGTACCACATAATTTTTAATCGGAAGCTACATATTAAGCATATTCAGGCTAGACTATTGTTCCTGTTAGTGTTTAGTGTGAGATGATTGTAAATATTCCCTTTCTTTCTCCATCAACTTTACCTGATAGTAAGCTAACTTTAGGCAAACCAACAGCACAACAAATATTTTCAAATAAGACTCACAAACCTGAGTCAACACCAGTCTCATTAAAGCTTGGGTTCTGTTGCGGTACCATTTGTCTAAAAACGTCCTTATGTCCATCTTCACTCATGCTTTTCAGGCAGAGACTGTAGAAGCCGGCTGCAGAAAGGCTTCTTCTTCAGTG